AAGTAGTTGCCAAAGCACCTCTCGATCGACGCTGTCAAAGTCGATGAAGTTGAGATAGAGAGGTGACTGCCATTCCAGGTTTTGTTCAATGATGATCCGTAATGTGACGATCTGATCAATGCATGACTTGTTTCTCCTGAATCCAGCCTGTTCCGGTCGAAGTTTTTCATCCAGGGCATGTTTGATTCTCTCCAGGATGATGCGGCTTAGTATTTTGCTTGGGATGGACAGGAGCATAATTCCGCGCCAGTTCTTGCATTGACTTAGGTCTCCTTTCTTTGGTAGTTTGAAGTTTTATAATATGCAAACTAAACTTCAATTCACAATGAATTTCAGGGGTGGGGTGGGGTGGAAGAGGAACGTCACCTAAGGCGCCGTAATTAAACTTCCTAAAAATCTTAAAGCAGCTAAAGTCGTTTTAATAATTAGTCTGACCAAAATGTTACTGGCACCTGCCAAGAATTTCTATACTTGCTTAATTTTATCTTTCACATATAATAAGAATGAAGGTGAATAGGCGCTCAGTCGCATGATTTTGATTGTGTTACTCATTGTTTCTACTTCATCACACTATTAGGAAGACTGTACACTTATTATTGTGATTGGTTTACATTATTTTTCTGGGACTTAGATGAATACAATTGATATCTTTACTCGTTCATTTGGCTTAAAGATTCATAATCTTGATGATATAGTTAGTTCAAATGAAACAAAAGACCCTATATGAACATGAAAACATAGTTTCAATAATTTGATTGGACACACGTCAGTAACTAGTGTAATGTGTGCGTGTGCGTCTAGACATATCTTTGGTGCAGATGGAATTCTATCAGTCAAGTTTGCAATGTGGCCACCATGCCAGGTGGCTCGCCAACACGGTGTACTGTGAATTGTTACTGTAAGATGGTTGGAGGCAGTCGGTAGGAAGCCTTGGATCTAGATTTTGTGCTAATTAGCACTCGCCAGCAAGACGTATCTGAAACCTAGTCACTGGCTAGTGTCCAATCAAAACATCTATTACAGTCCTACAGGAGGTTAATCGCGAGCCCGAATAGCTCAGTGGTAACATCTCTGACTGCAGCACTGGGTGACGTGGGTTCGAATCTTAGAAGGGACATTAGTTCCTTCGAGGTTTCAGGTACACCTTGCTGACTGGTGAGTGCTAACAAGCACGGAACCTAAGTCTGAGGCTTCTCGCCGATTTCCTCCTACCATCTAATATCAGCAATAGTTCCCTTACATTAGTCATTGATGGCATGTTATTCTGATGTGCCTGTTTACCTTCAGCATCTGAATACGCGAAGGTAAACTTTAAGCAGCAAAGGACTGTGATAGCACCGATGACCTTTGAACGCTCAGTCAGTAAGTTATTGAAACCAGATGAATGCACACTATAATCATGGGTAAAACAGGCTAAATTATTTATTACGAAATTAAACAGGATATCTGGTAAGCTTTAGGTAAGATTAAGTTAAGGTCCAGGCTAAGGACAAGTTAGGGTTGCTTTAACCCAATATAAGAAATATCAAGGTCGGTTCGAGTTAGATTGGTGATAGTTTCGCGTTAAAGTTAGGTTAAGGAAACGCTGCGGTTAGGACACCTAGATGAATACATGTACGGAATATGGTCTAATTTCTCTGTTGACATGCTAATGCAAATGGAAGAAAGGTATCCTGTGTAAGAGTTTCATGCCTTTTTATTCATTATTTTCATAAATATAACGTATTTTATGCGTAAAAATTGCCTTTTTCATGTGATTTGTACGTTCAAGTTTATTGGCATGTTGCCCATCTGGAAAACTTGACTTTTGAAAGTAGTCGTAAACGATGGATCAGTACATATGCCCAACTACTAAACATATACATGTATGTTTTTGAAACGATCCGGCTTTCTTTTCTTAGCCTTTCTAATACCTGTTTAATCTTATTAATACTTCAAGTGTTGGTTTGTATGGATTGGATTTGATTGGTTACAGGATTTCATCATGAGGTGACATCCGTTAGAGAACCATTGGAAAACCTGGGACTTGAACATCAATCCGATGCTCACCAGCAACTGGCCCTATTCAGGTAGGTAGTTTTACCTGGGTCCTAGAAAACAATTCGTGACTAGTGGGGTACAGCGGGTAGGGTGTGAGGATAGATACTTTCCGATGACATTAGCTAGTGACCGCGCTATATCGTGAATTGGCAGAAGTTAGAATTCATGGGCTGGCCATTGGATCGGATCCCAGTGGGTCAATGGTCTACGAGCTCGCCTTGTAACAAGAAGGTCCTGGGTTTGAACCCTGGTGGTGGGTGCGTACTGATGAAGAGTTCTAATCTAGGATGAAACAGTTGTCCAGAACTCCTAGTTCTTCCAATACTTCTCTAACCGATGTCAGCTCAGGATGAAATCCTGTAACTCACTTATACTAATTTCCCTTTCTGTAGTGTAAAGTGATAACTTGGTCTGATAAATTTTCTAGCTATTTTCTCATCACCGCAATTTCTGGCCATACGATCAGTGTCTTTGTATTCTTGTGAAACTATACACCATACAAAGAACATAATCCCAAAAATTCTTTTCTTCAAATCTCAGCTATACAACGTTTGAAATCCTGTTCATTTTTAATTTTAACCTTGTCAACTGGCCAGTTTCACTTAACCTATCCGAGTGAAACAATTATACTATCAGGTACTGTTGAGATTGCCAGAAATACCTTATGTTTTCTTCATTACAAGTGCTCTATTTGCAAAAGCATGAAGCTACACTTACTTGAAGGGTTATCTAAGGGTTTTTCTCTGAGTAATAATGAAAGGAACCAAGAAGGCAGGTGAGATCAAAACTAGTAATCATTAAAAATAAGCAGAATAGAGTTAACACTGTACATTGTGGAGACGTGGCTCAGTGGCTTACGCATTTGGTTTTCAAGCAATGGGTCACAGATTCGAAACCCTATCCACCCACTTCAGCCCAAGCGACTGAGTAGGGTCTCAAGGTCAACAGTATTTTCGTATTATATATGGATTGCCATTCTATAACTTTGCCCTGGGTAGTATCATCAGCCAGCCCTAAGACAATAAGTGTGGCTCATACGCCAGTACATGGAAAATCTGTTCCAGTTAACTGAGTTCCAACAAACGCTTTAAAGAATGGTTTCGAAGACATCCTAGTAAAATTCATCAATGCCTTCGTTTGAAGTTACATAGATTTTGAAAAAATCAATAACTGGCAGTCTTCACTTTCTTACAATTACAACAACTTGGAAAGGAGAGCGGAATACACGAACTTACAAAATTCTCTTTTTCTGCAACACATATGTTTAGTCCTATAAATGGAGAAGACCTAGGATCACCAATGACAACGAATGCTTACTATCTCTTCATTTCAACTGTCAAAAAAGCATATTTACGAAGTAACTCTTTTATCCTGAGTTATCCTAGCTACAATATTGTGTAGGTGAAGTGAAATACAGACTAGCAAACGATGATATATATATAGAAGAATACTTTTCAAGTTACCAAGCTTAGTGATTGATTTCTTGATACTCAACGCTAATAAGATGTCTTGTTAGCTAATTAAAATTTATTTATTTATGACAAGTTACACATTCCACACAGTTCATCAGAAGTGAAGATATATACACAAAGTAACAGTGTTATCCAGTTATACTGGTGCCTAATATAGAGATTTTAACAAACATCACCGCCAAACGATCTTCTTAATATGTATCACACTACCATATAATAATGATTTCCATAAGACTTTAAGATATATGACAATGCTAATAATAGGCTTGAATTCTAGTATAAGTCTAGAAAAGAAAAGAAAAATATTTTATGTATTTAATTCTATTCTGATAAATCTAAAGAAATGACACATTATATTCAACTTTTCAATAAAATAATCATTATCCAGGTATCATCTGTTCTATTGTCTGCTCTTGTTTTTCATTAACAATAGTTCAGTCTTGCTTGCTGATTTATAAGCGAATTCACTGGTACGGAAGTGGAAAAAATAACCAACTAACAACAACAACAACAACAAGCATCAATCACTCACTGTCAACGGAATAAATTTGAAAGAGGTAGCTCGCTTCACTTATCTGACCAGACAGCATCGTTTCAACTACGCGTGGCAACACAGATGAACACAAAACCAGAATGGGAAAGGTAAAACGGAGCAACGTCGTTCTGATATTAGTTTTAAAATATTCTGAACTCGGAAGAATGAAACAAAATCTGGACTTTCAACAACAATGCTAAGTTAGTTCTTGGATTTGCGTGTTACGAATAGCACTGCCAACAGCCTGTGGAAAATTTTTATCAACAATTATCTTCACTGCATACTGAGGATACGATACTCTGGGAACGAACTAATCAAGTGTGATGAGAGCTGGCTGCCAACCAAAATTGGTAGACAGTAATTTACGTCAATGTTTACATCCCCAATATTGGTCATGAGAAAAATAAGAACAAAGACTGACTACTCAACAACCAATCACAGCAGACTTTGCGTAGGCGGATACAATTTGCAGACAGATAATCTGAACTTCAAGAAACGGACACAAAGAGATGAAAGATTAACGTTCAGTGAGAAACCACCAATCAGAAGACTGTGTTTGTTTGCTTACAATAATCTATAATAATGTACATGACAATCTATAAATATGTTTTGATTTCCTAAATAAAGGATCTGTTGCCTGGCCTTTGTCTTCTGTTATTACACAAGAACCCATTACTCAACAAATATGCCGTAGGAAATGTAGATGGATCGGACACACTCTGAGAAGACGGTCAAATGATAAAGCGCGCCAGGCCGTGGCTCGAATGGAACCTGAGTGGGGCAGCGTCCGAGGGTGACATGGAGGAGATCGTGTAACACGGAGGAGATGAGAGCTTTAGGGGCTATCATGGGGCCAGCTGAAGAGGACGGCGGGGAATAGGAAAAAGGAGAGATGGATTGTTGTTCAGCTTGGGACCAAAGGGAACAATAATAGTAATAATAATAATACATTGGTATAAATTTGATCACTTTTATTCAACAATTATAATAGTAATAACCATTGATACATCAAATTCATCATACAAATATATAATTCACTTTTGCAGAGTAGAAATAAACACATCCTACAGTGAATATATATAGAACAATAAAAAAAATAATAATAGACATGCTGATATACAGATAATTCTTCTCTCTCTGTCTCTCATTTATCGTTTCCCTTCAACCATAATAATATGATAACCGAATTGAGTTTTCACTGGTGGATCTGTATACTTGGGATTTTCTAATGTTGATACAGGCAAAGCAAATGCTGCATCCTTTAATTTCATGTCAGAAATTTGTTTATTTTTATTCAAAGAAAAAAAAAAAAGAAGAAAAAGACAAAAGTGACATAATGAATTAGCACGAACAAAAGAAAACTCTATTTTTTTTACTTTTTAAATACCATAACAAAAATTGCTATACATTCAAATGAACAACAGCGCAATAAAAGTTTAAAATTCATAAAAGATAATGAGATAGACAAATCAAACTATTATTATTTTTTTAATTCCTTGAGTTCCGAGTTGAGCATTGGGGCTTCAAGCCTATTTTTAAGGGTTTTGTGACAGTGATGCTAATTTCTACAGTGGGTGGGACTGCTAACCTAACGCCCAATCTTCCCTTATTTTGCGGCTTGCTACTGACTAGACAAGGTTAAAGAGCGTGTCGGCTGGGAGTCGAACCCATACCTCCTAAGTGGCTGGCTGACAAGCATTGCACTATTGAACAATTGACACAACCAAATTAATCAGCTTACTCAATGAAGGAGTAGTGGAAATGACAGTTATTCAACTGACTAATATTTATTTATTTTAAATCACTTGGGCTCCGAGTGGAACATAGAGCTTCAGAGGCACATCTGAATTTTATCCCGTCCTCTTGCGTCCTATTAAGATGGCTCTACGATGACCCATAAACTGTCATCTCCTCCGATCCGTCCGTTTAACTGAGTGCAGGAGATTCCCACAATGATCTCAGATTAATGAGGGTCAATCGGGCATCTCCAACTGTACCCTTGACATCATCTGTGGTTGAAACGATGCTGTCCAAATAAATGGAAGAAATAACCTCCTTCAAATTTCTTCCGTCGATGTTGATTGGTGCTTCTTGATGTTGATTAGGTATTTCCATCACCTTTGTCTTTTCTATATTCACTTCAAGCCCTGTCTTCGCTGACAGTCTTTTCCGCCAACTTGTTGATTTTCGACTGTAGACCTTCGAGTTTGTGTAGTATTAGACATAAATCATCCGCAAAGTCCATATCTTCTAGAGTGTTCATATCGGTCCAACGTAATCCTGTCTTCTCGCTTCCCACGCATAATCCAGTCCACCACAATTAGCAATATCATCGATGATATCAGATAGTCGAGTATTACTCCATATATATATATATATATATATATATATATGATTGGATGGAGGATTTCATCATGAGCTGACATCAGTTAGAGAACCACTGGAAAACCTGGGAGTACTGGACGGGTGTTTCGTCCCAGTTTAAAACCCTTCAGCGGTACGCACGCCCCCAGTGGCTCAACGGCCTACGAGCCCCCCTTGTAACCAGAAGGTCCTGGGTTCGGACCCCAGCGGGTGCGTACTGATGAAGACTCCCAAACTAGGATGAAACGCCTGTCCAGTACTCCCAGGTTTTCCAGCGGTTCTATAACTGATTGCAGCTCATGATGAAATCCTCCATCCAATCATTTATATATATATATATATATATATATATATATATATAGGTAAGTTCATGCTAAAGATATTCATGAATTAAGATTTCTGATGAATAAATATTACAAAGTGGATAATAGAGATTATTCTGGGTTAACCAGACTAATCGGAATCAATTGTAACACGTATAATATAAAACACACAGACTTCATAAAAGTTTTAAATTAAACTAGAAAGATATTTACTGAAATTTTCGATTCCCTGTCGTTTATTTCCCTTGACCAAAAATAACGAGTCTCTGACGGGATATGGATACCTTGCATGGACACATAGATGATACGCTTGACGACGATGCCTTATTCCATCCCAACACCCACTTTATTGTTGTTTGCGAGTAAACAACTAGTTCCAAGTTCTAGTGAGAATATCGCCACCACCAGCCCCCATACTGAGATACACACGCATCCAACACTGACGTAATCCCAAAGAGGATAAAAAAACTTGAAATCAGTCCAGTGTTGGCTTACAAATTGACTGACTGACTGACTACAAGAGGAAGTTGCCTGAAATTCTTTCGGGAAATGGTGTCCAGCAGGATCTAGTGAGTTGGGTGTGAAGACTAATACTCACCTAAAACATTGACTAACCGCTTTGTTATATATCGCAAATGGGCAGAAATTAGAACTGATGAGCCAATGGATTGTGTCCGAACAGATGAATAGCCAACAAACTTGCTTTGAAACCTAAAAGTCTCGGGTTCGACTGCTGGTGAGGTAATGGGTGCATACTGATGAAGAGTCTCAAAGACAGAAGAAACAGCTGTTCACAACGCCCTAGTTTCCACCAGTTCTGTTGTGGTGAGAGCTGGCTGCTAGCCAAAGTTGGTAGACGGTAATTGACGTCAATGTTTATGTCCCCAATATTGGTGGTGAGAAAATGAGAACAAAGGCTTTGCGTAGGCGGATACAGTTAGCATATGGATGATCTGACACAGCCATAAAGAGAAGCAAGGTTAACTTTCTGTGAGAAACAACTAATTAAAAGACTGTATTTTCTACTAACAATAATCTACAATAATGTACATTAAAATCTATAAATATGTGTTGATTTTCCTTAATAAACGATCTGTTGCCTAGCCCTTGTCTTCTGTTGTTACACTGTAACTGAAACTAATTTGTAATGAAGGTTGACAAAACAGTGATCTAGATTCTACAACTAATCAACACCAATTAAGAAACAAACTATATTGTGCATTCTATGATGTGGAGAGCTGGTTATAATACATTAACTCCTAGCGCTACCATTCAAACACTAACTTATTTCAACTCGAACACTTACGAAACATTCTGAACCGATAGAAAATTTGAAGTGTTAACCATACAAGCTGTATTCTGTGAATAAACTTTATAACTTTAGATTCAAGTGTAACTTTGTAGGGATTTAATTAGTTTTAAGTTCGATCATGGATTGATATCATTTAAGGAATCAACGAGTAACAGACACTGTTGTTTCGTCTCTGTTTAGGACTCTTCACAGTATGAACCCATTTAATATTAGAATCATGAATTCACTAATGTTATCGTATACTAAATAGAGAGCAGTGAGTTGATGAACAACAAAAAAATGGAGAACTATGTCTGACAGTTACTCAGCTGAAATTATAATATTTTCATAATAATATAGAAAAAACAAATGAAGAATTTAAATGTAAGTGATACTAAAATAAATTTTAAAAAAACGACTATGAATTTTCTTCTTGAAATATCATTTCCTATCTAACAGTAACACTGTTCATCTTGCGATTGAACAACACGCAAGAAATACTGCGATGAGATGAATGATAATATATGCACTATCAACACTTTATGCCTATAACTTTCAATGGCCATTTCTCCTAGAACTGGTATACGAAAGATAAGACTGATGCTTGAAAACTGAATAGGAAGTTGCATATCTCACCAGTGGAATAAATAGCATGAGTTAATATATGTATATATCAAAGCCTCGTGTTTCCGACTTCCCTGAGACAGAGGCTTCATGCTCCTCACCCTGTATAATCAGCGCCAGACATTCTCATTCACCTTTCTACTCTAGAAATAATCCCCCATTCTTCCGAATGAAGGAAATGATTAGAAATAATAGTTCTGTACAATTTACGCGTGCGTCAGTGATTCAATGTTAGATCACTGGCCAACCACTCAAGTGGTCCGGGGTTCGATCCTCGGCCTACTTGGCACTATTTTACCTCGCTAAACCGGTAGCAAGGCTGGTGTAAAGAGGGAAGGTTGGGCAAGAGGCTAGCAAACCTACTCCATAAAAATAAAATCAATGCTACTGGAACTTTAAAGGAATAAGAAGAAGAGGCTTTACGCAGTAAACCAACTTTATCCCTTTACTCCAAGATAGATTTCATCACGAAAAAACAATAAATTTGTTTTATTTTAACTAAAAAAAAGATATTCATCAACTATTAGAATCTATTAGTTTCAGAGTATTCTATAGACATTTAGTGCTGGATTACGCATACATGCGCGTACACAACATGACAGTTTTATGTTATCACAGTCTGTATTTAAAATACAAACAATTTATTCGATATAAGGTGACTTTTGTTTACTCTTTCTTTTACATAGTACCAGTTGGTTAAAAGTATTAAAAAAAAACACAAACACACAACAAGAATTATCTTACATCACACTTTTGTAAGGAACCATTTCATTATGGTGTTGTATAATAATAATAATAATGATAATTTTATTGATTAGTTGTTCTGTTTATTTGATTACTAATCAATTTATATTTTGATATTAAAGTGTTGGTTTGTAGGGATTTGATTGGTTACAGGATTTTCATCATGAGCTGACATTAGTTAGAGAAACATTGGAAAACCTGGGAGTACTGGACAGCTGTTTCGTCCTAGTTTGGGACTCTTCATCAGTACGCACTCACCGGGATTCGTGACCAGTAGGGTGCAGCAGGTCGGGTGTGAGGACAAATACTCACCGAAGACAATGGCTAGCGGTTGCCTTATATCATGAATTGGCAGAAGTAAGAATTCATGGGCCATTGGATCGGGTCCCAGTGGCTTAATGGTATACGAGCTCGCCTTGTAACCAGGAGTTCCTGGGTTCGAATCCCGGTGAGTGCGAACTGATGAAGAGTCCCAAACTAGGACGAAACAGCTGTCCCAGTTTTTCCAATGGTTCTCTAAATAATGTCAGGTCATGACGAAAATCTTTATATTTTGATAGTTAATAGATATTACTGAAGTTCTCTATGAGAGAGAGAGAGTTCAACAAATTCAGTTTCATGAATGATTGGAACACATGAACTTTAAACAAATATCACATTGATTAACCACCTATTGGTTTCTGGGTAACAGGAATAACAGAAGCACTTTTAACGTAGGACTCGGAACTATAATACTGTAGGTCGTTCATTTGTTATAATAATTACCTATGATTATTGTTTCCTTTAATTCCTAGAGGAACATAGGGCTTCAGCTGCACGTCTCCATTGCAAAGTGCTCCCACACCGGGAGTCGAACCCGGGCCGCCTGGTTGAGAGTCAGGAATCCTAACCACTACCTATTGTTGATTAATCAAGGCATTGATTTGATTTGATTTTTCTTTGTTGGCACATTGTCTAGTTACACGGATGCCTCAATATCTCTGTTTTATCCTTTGTCTAGGATGATACTTAACAGTCGAATTCATTCTATGTTGGATTATTGATTTGAATTCACTTATATCCTTATGTATGATACTTTTTCACCGAAACTTGAATCCACCATCCATATATTTTAAAAGCTGAAGTGTTATGCACTAGGCTACTTGAAGCATAGTTTAACCAATACTACTGAAATACTTAAGCGGATGAAGATAGAAGAAAATATCACAGAACTGGGAGTCATTCGATGAAAAGTTATCAAACTTTATAAGAAAGAGAAGAAGATAAACAAGTAAAAACACGATATACATGAGTGAAACTAAAATTAGAAAGATAATGAAACATAATGAAACAATCCATCCAGAGTTATGTCACCTAAATTCGTTAACTAGTGGTTTCTATCTATCTTACAAGACCTTATTAACGAAGCAGGGTTTTCATAGCAGTGGTCGTATGTACTTAAATTGTAGTGAGAGCTATCTGCTAACTAATATTGATAGACAGCAATTTACGTCAACGTTTACTTCCCAAATCTTGGTGATGAGAAAAACAAGAAGAAAGTCTTTGCGTGGGCGGATACGATTAGCAGATATACGGTCTGACCATCAAAGAAACGGCCACAAAGCGATGACAGAATAACTTCCAGTGAGAAAACGACCAATTTGAAGACGCTGTTTCTCTGCTAATAATAACGAATAATAATGTACATAAAAATATATAAATATTTGTTGCCTGGCCCTTGTCTTCTGTCGTTACAAAATCATAGGACGAAGATAAGCAAAAATGTAAGATAATTCCATATGATTTTCAAGAGTTAGCTTGTAGGAATTTCATTAGTTTCAAGTTTGATCGCGGGGTGACATCAGTCGGAGAATCACTGGAAAACCAGGGAGTACCGAACAGATGTTTCATCCTAGTTTAGGACTCTTCATAAGTACTAACCGACTACGGTTCGAACCCGACATCCGGTTACAAGGAAAGGTCATAGACTATTCAGCCACTGGCACCTAATCCAATGACCTACGAATCCCAACTTCTACCAATTTGTGATTTTAGCGCTACCACTAGCCAATATCACCAGTGAGTATTTGTCCTTACGCCCGATCTGGTTGGACCTCGCTGGTCACAACTTCTGACTGAGAACTCCAGACAACTTAGTCCTGCAGTCAGTCACTGGGGAGCGTCAGATTAATTCCCCAGAGTTAGTTTGTAAGGACTTGATTTATTTCAAGTTTGGCTGGATGGTCTACAAGCTTTCCTTGCAAGAGTACCCCCAAGTGGGTGCCAACTGATGAACAGTTCCAAACTAGGACAAAACAGCTATCCAGTACTCCCCACATTTGCAGTAGTTCTCGAACTGATATTATCTCGTGATCCATATTAATTTGGTTATTCAATTACCACACAGTGAAACTGTATTATCCACTGGTTAAACAGTTCATTGTTCATAATTGGTTGACTAATTATTATTTGATAATGAACAATGAAATATGTTTGAAAAGTCATCCAGTAAAATAAAATTGATGCAATGTGTGATACATTCAATAAGTGAGTTAACATGGAATGACATACTACCAAAGTGTTCAAATTTTATACATGAATTAAAGTGTAAGATAGAATAGACAAATCAAGATGGAGTTATACAATTTGACCAAATTAGATGATTAGAACATATATTTATACATTATAAGAGCATTATTAAATTTTCTCAGCCCCAAACGAGTGAAATGGCTGTCCATCTGGCTGGCAAGTACTACTGGTTGGTTGATGTGAATGGTGTCCTGTCCAACTACTTATGTAAATCAATCAGTAGTATATAAAGAGCATTACTAGGTAAAAACCTTAAGCGTAATCAGATCAAAATATGAAAGCAATCCATAAAGTCTTTGTCTGTTGTCATAAGATATGTAGGTAGTTTCGTTTTAAGTTTCTTTGCAACGTGAACACTCGCTGATTGGAGAATCTTGATGACATGACTCACAAAATGCTCACCATGATGCACATGTATTTACTTTTAATTGCCTTCAAAATTCTAAACATTTCCACCATTTTCAGGTATTGGTTTTGTAGGGATTTCTAATTGATTGCAAGGAGGATTTCATCATGAGCTGACATCAGCAGGTGGAAGATGAGCCAGTAACTCATCGAAGAAGACATTGCGAAATGGTCACGCTATGTTGTGAATAGGCAGAAGTTAGATTTCGAGGACCATTGGATCCGGTCCCAGCGGCTCAATGGTCTACGGGCTTGCCTTGTAACCAGAAGGTTCTGGGTTTGAACCTCAGTGGGTACGTACTGTGAAGAGTCTTAAACTAGGACGAAACAGCTGCGCAGTACTCCCAGGTTTTCCAGTGGTTCTCTAACTGATGTTAGCTCATGATGAAATCCTCCATGCAATTTCCACCATTCTTCGCGGCACTATTCTGCTATAACACTCTAATCTGATTTCTCTGTCTGTCTGTTTCATTTATTTATGCAGTACTCAGAACAGTCTTTCAGAAAAATAAATAATCTTATGAAATATGCACTACAAATGTTATTTTAGAATAATTTAATTTCTGCACAAATTCACATCTTACATTTTGAAAAACAGTTCAGCGTGATTAGATTTTAGAATTGCCTATAGTATTAAAGTATATCAACTGTTTGCATGTGCATCGGTGGCGTAGCGGTTAGGACGCTCGCCCACCATGCACATGGTCCGGGGTTCGATCCCCGGCCGGCGCACTCCTTTACCTCGCTAAGCCAGAACTGAAGCTGGTGAAGAGGAAAGGTTGGGCATGAGGCTAGCAACCCCATCCTGTAAAATAAGCATTGCTACAGAAACTTCAAGCCACTAGCTTGAAGCCCTATGTTCCACTGGGGAACGTGAAGGAAAAAGAAAAAAACTGTTTGCAATAAAATTTTGAAATTGTTTTCCCATACTGGTAACATCATCACTCACTGAGGAATGAAGGTACATCCAGTTGACGAGTCCCAGATAGGACGAAATGCGCATCCTGGATTCCACTGCTAGTCACCATCCACCAATTAATCACAATAGCAGTTTGTTAATGACTATTAGTGGAATCCAAGAAGGCGAAAACTTGTCATACGGTGTAAAAACAACACGGAAAAGTAAATAATTATTTTATTTTTAACTCCTACTTCTTAAATAGTAACTAAAAACAACAACAACAGCTTACTTGAAATGCACCAACCATTGAACCACGTGACATCCATCCTAGATCACCACCTGAACGTGCTTTATCCTCACTGTACATTTCTGCGACTTGATTAAAACGTTTACCATTTTTAAGTTGTTCTAAGGCTTCTAAACACTTGCTTTGCTTTTCACACAATATATGACGCACCTTGGATAAAGAAAATTAAGAAAAGAATCAAAGCGTCGATAACAAGATTAATGAAATTAATCATTTTCAAGAATTGATTTGTTGGGATTTGACTTGTCTTTCAAGTCTGACGACGAACTGAGATCAGTTAGACAGCCATTGGAAAACATGGGAGTACTGAGCAGCTGTTTCGTCTTAATTCAGGACTCATCGGCAGTACGCAACCACCACGTTTCGAGCCCAGGACCTTTCAGTTACAAGGCAGGCTCGTAGAATATTCAGCCACTGGGACCCGATTCAATGGACAGCTCATGAATTCCAACTTCCAACGAACCAGAGCTATTAACCATTTTTTTGTGTAAGAGTTGACTAATACTATCTACTTCTTCAGTCTAACTGAAACCAAGATGCCCATATGAACTAATACCTAGAATGACACTAATTAACAAGGAAAATGTTGGCGTTGAAGAAAGAAAACACGTAGAATTTACACCATTATTAAAACCCGAAAATAAATCATAAATCATAAAACACTTTTTATTCGATATATTTAAACTACATAGGAAAAATAATAACAAATTTATTGTTCCAAGATAGTGAACTGTTCACATTATTATATTATTCAGATGGTTGGAGGGAATCGATAGAAAGCCCGGGACCTACGACAATTTTTGCTTGTTGGCACTCACCAGTCAGTCAGTCAGCAAGGCGTATGTGCAATCTCTTAAGGAACTCCGATTCCCTCTGAGTTTCGAACCCGCATCATCCTAGTTCTGCAATCAGAAACGTTACCACTGAGCAATTCGAGCTTGCGACTGACTCCTGCCGATTGCCGCCTCCAACCCATCGAATATCAACAATTCATAGTACACTGGAATGGCAAGTCGTCTAGTATTGTGACCAAATTGCAAACCTGACTAAAAGAATTCAGTTTGCACTAAACCGACGGTTAAACGCATGATACTGGTTACTGCCCAGATGATTATAGGGTAAACTTATAAACTAGAGGCTAAAGCTAAAGACAAAAATACCATTGATAATTTGACTGATGTGGTAGTTTTATTATCTAGAAAACAGTGCAGGACATTTAAATGTTTATTATTATTATAGGTTCATTATTTGGTCCCATTGGTCGCTTAATTTCCTTCCAAGGTTAAATATACTACTGACCATATACAAGTTTGAACAAAAATTGTAGTTAAAACTACAGATGGCTTGAAATTGTGCTTTTTCTTTTCTAAAATAACATCTAATGCGCCTTAGTAGTGTATTATAAAAGCTCTACTTTATTATAAAAGAAAAGGTCACAGACAGTGAGTGAGTGAACAGACTTAACATTGTGGGTAATTTAGTGAAATGTATGTGGTCTTTTGAAATAAAACTCTAATGTGTACACTAGAAAATGAACAAATCACAATAAAACAAACCAGCCCAGGGTGGGTAGGTGTTTCTTCAAACAAGCAGAAATTTCATTGGTCAGCTTAATTGTTAGACAAATAACAAACATGTGATTTGTCTATGTGATAGGGTGATAGGACTGAAAAGAGATGAAAGAAGAGCTACTGGGTGGTGTGTCACGATTCAAATACTTACTAAGTCTTCATATAACAAAACGTAAGGGTAGAAAATTCTTATTTTAAAAAAATGTGAATCTTGCAAACGCCTGTAACTAAGTTTACTTCCTATAAATCTAAAAAAAAGTAAGACAATGGACGAAAAATATTTCTAGCAAAAATGATGAGTTACTTTTACTGCGTTCGCTGTTTTCGACTGTTTTTCCTGATGATGATGACGATCCAGAATCTGTTTTGTTGGAAGTCTTTCCACCAGATTTAGAATTTTTTGCATTATCACCCTTACTGGCAGTATTCGATGCCTTTGGCATATTGATTTATCTGTATCCAATAAGAGCGAGAGACATTGAAAATGAAAAAAAACTGTTATGAAATAACTACAGAAAAAAGAAGACAATTATCCAATCAATTACGGAAGAGTAATAGACAAAACGTAATAACATCTAAATACTGTAATATAACTATCACTTTCCAGCTCAGTGATGGCTACTGGATAGATGTCCTGAAAAGTCATGACCAGACGGGTTCAGCATGTTTAACGGTGAAGTGGATGACTATCGAAGGCATCAGATCAGGGCAAGTGCCACATCATGAAATGACAGAAGCTGGAATTCACAGATCATCGTATCCCAACAACCCAAATGGCTGAATGGCAAACGAGCTTCGCCTTATAACTTGAAGATCTCGGGGCCAATCTTTGGTGGGTGGTGGGGTCGTAGGTGCGTAATGCTGAAGAATCTCCAACTAGGACGAGACAGCTGTCCACTGATTCCTGGTTTCCAGTGATACTCTAGCTGGTGTCGGTTCGTCAAGAAATTTACAATATTTACTGTAAATGATGGATGACTGGAAACTAATTCAAGCTGTGAACGGTACATGTGCTGGTGTAGATTCCTCATGAGGTCATCACCGTGAACTAATTATCCGATTCGTTTTTCTGCAGTTTCTACCACTTCACTAATTGATGAAAGGTGTAATTAAGTTCACCATATAGGTAGGAATTTCAAAATATTGAATGTAGAAATACTTTAAACTTGAATATCATATCTCACTTTAGTAGTAAGTGCCACAGATAGGAGATAATCTTTTCCAATGGGTAACAATAAGCACATAAGGGAAGTTCAAAGATTCTGGCTGGTAAATTTTTAAAATGCAATACTAAGATAGCTTATCTCAAGATATTGTTTCTATAAATCATTAACAGAGTTTATTTGAATCGCTGAGGAAAATCCACATTCTTTTAGAAATTCTACTTATTGTTAGAGTAGAAGATAACAGAAACACTTATTCACACCGTTATAGAGATTGTGTATTCTTCTAGGTGAAAGGTCGATAATCGACCTCAGTATTCATCCTTATAAATACCGAAGTCCTAATTTGTAGGCTAAGCAGTGTAGACATAAGTAGACAGAAATGTACATCTTATATTTCATATTCAGCTACCACAAAGAGAAACGATCTAATTTTACACTGTACATATTTTGTCAATATCTAAACCTAATCAGTAAGTTTTCTGTAAAACAAAAAGAATACTCTTGATAAGAAAATTCCATCTGAGAGTTTTACAACTAAAAATCATTAAATTTGAAAAGAAAAAACACTAGTCACAACCTCTCATTAGAGCTTACGGATAGCCATTTCACAACTAGCCACCAACAAACAACAGACTTATCAGATTCAGATGTGAAGTTTGTGAAGAATCGGTTGTTTTCACTGTAGGAATTTACTACGAACTGATAAGCATCAACAACATAATTGAGAAAAACAAGGAAGATTAGACACCTGTATATAAGGGTGACTAGATTTAAGATACCTTTCATGCAGTTCCAATGACAAGTTGTAAATAGTTTAGATGATTAACGAAGTTGAAAATAAGATCAATAAACCAATGATAACGTATGATGATAATTGTGGCATACTTTCAAATGACAGATAAAGAAAACAGGTTACTGGTTTTTATTTCAACAGTGGGATATTTTCTAGACTCCATTCGATGGTACCTTGAGTTATGAGATCAAAATCTCACATAGAAATTTGAGTTTTTCAATCTTCCACTAATGATTGATGAAGACACATTGGCAAATACACCCTCAATGGCTTAATGGTCTACGAGCTAGCTCGCCTTGTAACCAGAAGGTCCTGGGTCCGGTGGATGTATACTGTGAAGAGTCCCCAACCAGGACGAAACAGTTGTCCAGTACTCCCAGCTTGTTTTCCAATGGTTCTCTAACTGATGTCAACTCATGAGGAAATCCTCCAAACAATCAAACAAAATTCCCTTAAAAAACAATACTTGAAAGTACACCCTTTGATGAAATCCGTAGACTTTTAAAAACATTTTCCACATGTATGTATGTGAAGGTGTAAATGCCTATTTAAGTTTTGTGACATCAATATCATCATCGTCATCACAAGCAGTCATACTTCAACTGGAACAAGAAACAATAAATACAAAGGAACCTATAATTATCCTTAATCATCAAAGAGGTATCTTACTACTCCGTTTTTATTTCACCCTCTCAATAAATTATCTGTGATGTGAATTAGGGACTAATATTTGTCTTTTCATAGTTTCTCTTCAAAGGTGTACAATTATGGTCAATTAGTAACAAACATAAATCAGAGTGTTGGAAAAATACTAATGTGCATAAATCATGAAAATTGACTCACTTTCAATTCTGTGTGCTGTTATTTCCTTTCTGCCTTAATTGATTAATCGTACTTTCTCTCCCTCGATTACGTAAGATTACTCATTATGTTCCCTACGTCGATTTCTATCATGTGTCTCAATTTCTCTTTGTTATTAACCGACAATAATCTGTGAACTTTGTTAGCAATTAACATTCAACAGCTTTGAAGAGAAACTATGAAAAGACAAATATTTGCCCCTAATTCACATCACAGATAATTTATTGAGAGGGTGAAATGAAAACGGAGTAGTAAGATACCTCTTTGATGATTAAGGATAATTATAGGTTCTTTGTATTTATTGTTTCTTGTTCCAGTTGAAGTATGACTCCTTGTGATGATGATGATGATGATGTCACAAAACTTAAATAGGCATTTACACCTTCACATACATACATGTGGAAAATGTTTTTAAAAGTCTACGGATTTCATCAAAGGGTGTACTTTCAAGTATTGGTTTTGTAGGAAATTTTGTTTGATTGTTTGGAGGATTCCCTCATGAGTTGACATCAGTTAGAGAACCATTGGAAAACAAGCTGGGAGTACTGGACAACTGTTTCGTCCTGGTTGGGGACTCTTCACCAGTATACATCCCCCGTGGTTCGGACCCAGGACCTTCTGGTTACAAGGCGAGCTAGCTCGTAGACCATTAAGCCATTGAGGGTGTATTTGCCAATGTGTCTTCATCAATCATTAGTGGGAGATTGAAAAACTCAAATTTCTATGTGAGATTGTGATCTCATAACTCACGGTACCATCGAATGGAGTCTAAAAAACATCCCACTACTGAAATAAAATTCACTGGTTGTATTGTTTTCAAAATCTATCATCAGACGTTTCTTCCTGTTTAAGATAAACATCGAAGTCTAATAGTTTATAAATTCTCTCTAGCTTATTTTACACCTCATCTAAGAAAAAATGAGACATCCTCTTTACTTGCATAAATATTGCTAATAAAGTACGGCAATTCAAGTTATGACAAAGTTAACACAAGGGTCTAGAAAAGCAAAGCAAAGAAACTACTATAAACAGAAATTTACAGGAGAAGGAGAACAATGCAGATTTAATGGATCTGAAAGTTTATAAAGAGTGAATGCATATGCGCCATCGCATCACCAACAGTTTTCAGCCATTGAATCTTAGAGTATGAAGAACTGCAGTCACATAGGCAACATTCCCTCACGTATTGTTACTTATTTAGAAACACGATATTTAAACCAAGTATTCGTGGTTATATTATCATTGTACTAATGGTCTAATCTTAATCCTTATTATCACATAACGGTACAATATGACATCATTCATAATTCCTTTGAGATTTCCAACTGAAAAATTTGATTGATTATAGTTCAGCTTTTTTTTCAGCAAAGGCATCTAAGCACCACACCGCCGCCTCTACTTTAACAAGGAAATTACTAAGACAAAATGTGTATTGCATAGCTTTTCTTTAGAGTTTAAAGTGTACTTACCTCTGAATTACAATTAGTAATAACTCCCCCCCCCCCAACGAGGTGCAGTGAAGTACAACAAAAACAATATGGAATTACAAAATCTACTTATAATACAAAATATTCTTATTTATCTTTTACTGAGGAAAGTGATTTCACAGTAATCTATTCCAAGTGGAACATATATAGCTTCAGTAGGACATTTTCATTCCATCTTGTTATCGTCTTGCGATGGCTCCACGATTACCCACTAGGTTCTCACCTGCTCCTCCCATGACCTCTACTCCATGTCACTCTAAGACATCCAGCTTACTGTTTCCCAGTCGGCAGACACAGCCTGCTGGAGACAAAATCCAGAAGAGGAACAGATGGTGGCTCAAAACATTATCTAGGGCTAAACTAATAAGTATTCAGAACATAAGAGACAAATAAAATCCATGAAAATCTCATCGATTCAAAGTATTCTAAACTGCTAAAGTGTATGGTGTCAGATAATTGATAATTTACTCTCCGTTTCACTTCTTTCGCTTATCTCGGCAGCACTAATGTCAAGTCAATTCTCAAATGTGGTTCAGAGACTTTGCGCGTGCGTCACCGAAAGTATTTGCAACAGGCTGATGCAGACTCTCCATCAAAGGCTGTCTTCGCTCAATGCTGAAAAACAAATGTCTGATTGGCCAGTAAGAATTAGCACTGAGAAACTCTTGGAACGAACAAATCACGAACCCATTACTCAACAAATATACCATAGGAAATGGAGACGGATCAGACACACTCTGAGAAGACTATTGAGTGACATTGCGCTCCAGGTCATTGCTCGAGTAGAACCCGAATGGAAAATGCCGAGTGTGGTGTCCGAGGGTGACATGGACGAGATCATGTGACGCAGAAGCGATGAAAGCTTACGGGCAAGCTGTAGACGACTGCTGAGAACAGGATGTAATGGAGATGTGCTCTGTTGAAGCCCCATGTTCCACTTGCGTCAGTATATAAACTTCATTCACATTTCTATTCCACAAGGCATAAAACAGCCAGTCATAACTCCTTACCCCCCCCCCCTCGAAAGAGTAGATATAAATCATTCATGCCCACGCTAATTCATCATCCACATCCACAAACATGCACACAAAACTGAACCATGCCTTTTCCCAATACACACATATCTTAAGGAGAAAGGACAGAACTCTATAAGATTCTGTTGTAAAAAAAACGCCACCATCTGAAATTATTTTTAAAGAGATAACATAGTAATTATAGATTAGTTGAGAAATAGTAAAAGGAATTCACTGTAAATATATAAAAAACAAAAGTTAACATGTGTATTATTAACCTTTAATTTTATTGCTTCCAAATTATCGTCAAATAGAAATAATAATAATAATATTATCATTAATAATGTTATTATTATCATTATTATTATTCACAAGGTAGAAATAGAAATCAGAATATTAAAAAAATCAACGACTGGTTAAACAATTTTGATGTATACAAATAACGTGAATGCATAGTGCTGTATAAACGGAAATAAAATATTGGTAGAATAATAATAATAATAATAGTAATAGTAATAATAATAATAATAAAAGTAATGACCTTGTCAACTGAATTTTTCACAGGAATAAAAACAAGGCTGTCAAAATATCCGCCTACTAATGAATGACTGCTCTTCAAACAAGCAGTAGGCCGTTATAATACTTCCTGAAAAAAAAAACATCAAAACAGCAGACATCTTTCTGCCCAAAAACACTTTTTTTATAAATAATAATCAAATATACACAGAAAATTAAATGTATATATATGAATAAGATTATTACAATCAAAATCAGATTTTCTGTATAACAAGGTAAGCAGAACAGTCTAGGCAGGAAACATGTAACCTCACTCCCGCTCTCTCTCTCTCTCCCCCACTCTTTTCATATTTGTACGTAGGTATGCGCATACGAGAAGGAAAAGAGAAGACAATTTCAGCAGACTAGCCTTTCTGGGGAGGGAAAAACCCAATCGAAACGTGGAAGAAACTGATAAACGAAAAAGTGAAAAAAAGGAGATTTTGGAGAGAAGAATACGGAGAAAAGAAAAACAGCTGCCGAAATAAAAGAAAGGCGAATGAACAACGAGGAATACCCACACACACAAAAAAACCTACTCCTAGACATACTTGTCTTTTCTTACTCTGCCTCATTCTTGTTTGTCAGAAGGATACATATGTAATAAATTAAGTGATATACATAATTATTAGGTGCTGTTGTTGTTATTATTGTTGGAATGGTAATTCGAAGGCAGCAGCGGCGGCGGCGGCGGAGGGGGACTTTCTTTTCCAATTAAAAACGAATCAAAAACATAACAAAAAAAACAACCCATTAAACATTTGTAGTACACGTGAATTTTGTAACCTGATCGTGAATTTTCCAGTAAAGAAATCACTTCGTTCCTCCAGCTTTGTCGAATGCATATATGTAGACATAATTTAAGTTATACCAATGATTCGATTAAGAAAAACTGGAATTTGTAATACATAATTAAACTTGTTTTATTATAATTATTATTTATATGAGAGGAAATCTGAATGGATTATTATATACACCATATATATATATATATATATATATATATATATATATATATGTAAGTGATGGGCTCATTTACCCAATTATATTTAATATAATACACTCAATCCACCTGTATCACTGCCTACCAATAGAAAATTATTCTCTGTAAGTGAAAGTATAGAACTGATATTACCACGTAATAAATTTGGCGGGATTCTGCCTATAGTATAATAATATGCAGGATTGAAATTATTATGATTATTATTAGTAGTAGTATGACTAAGAGATGATGATGAGAGATAGGTGCCTAATATTGTCCCACCAATACTGTCATTGCCACCACTATTATTCATATTATTATTACAATTATTATTATTATTGTTCCCGTAATGATGATATGCTTGTGATGATATTGATGATGAATGAGTTGCTGGTGTTACTGATGTATGACCAGTTAATTCATTCACTTTTAATCCAGAAATTGGATTATTGTCATTTATTGATTCGCTAACTGTGTTCGTTGAAGGATTACTGCTGCTGCCCCCGAAAATAGGGAAACGAGATGTACTCGATGATGAAGATGACGATGACAATGAGGAGTAGGAGGAGGATGAAGACAGTGAAGTAGCACAGAAAATTGGATTCTCCTTGCACATTGTTAAACATGTAATATTTTGTAATTTTGGTAGAATAATTTTTTCCGACTCGAATTGTATTGTAGAATTATACGTTAAGCAATTGAAGGCATTATTCATTTGATTATATGAATTCAATAAAGAATTTGGATTAATATTTATTGGATTAGCTGATGGATAAATGAAGGATAAACTTCGATCATTACATGATATAAATCCATTGTATTTGTGTGGAACAATCTAGAGACAAAAGATAAGAAATAATGATAATAATAGAGCACATTTTAGAATTTATTTACTAGATCAAGCAAAAAAATATATTAAATAAGCGGATCCTTCATTGTGAAGTTTAGATAGATAATAGGCTAGGAACTGTACTGTATGTAGGAAACTATATAACATATTAGCATGCATGCGCTATCAGTCAAACATTGATCGTGTGATGTTCTCATGGGATGAAGGAAATCGATGGGACAGTCACTAGTTTATCGTATAATTCGGTTATACTGAAGCTGGGATTAGACAGAGAAATAAGCATTTAAAATAGAAAACGTCAATCATCAATCATGCCCACCACAGGGGCAGGATGAGAAACTTACACTGAAGATCTTGGCATCAGTGAGCAAGGATTTACTTCTCTTCCCTTGGGTTTCGGGTACTTACTTACTTTACTTTACTTCGGCTATCTCCTACGAGAGGATGAGCCGGCTTCATGAACATCTCGAATCATCGCTGCCCAGGCGCGGCGATCTGATGCAAGGTTTTGCGACAGGGTTATCCAATTCTTGTTCCACAGACGGAGTCCGTAGACGGTTTGTAGCCCCAGGCACTCCATATCAGCCTTGACTGTACCAAGCCATGTTTTCAGCTGTCCACCCCTGCGACATCGCCAAGATGGTAATGGCGAGGGATTTAGAACTGATTTGACCAGATCGTCATCTGGTCGGCGCAGAACATAGCCAAACCACCGAAGGCGACGTTGTTGGACCAGTACTGGAGTAAGAGAGTTCATGAAGTTTCATGGGAATTTGGTACGAGTGATGTGCCCAGAATCGCTCGGCCTTTTGTTTGAGAGTGCAGCTCTAGCCTTTACACAACCAAGTGTGACCTACAAGGCAGTAGGAGTGAAGTAGGAAGTCCACTATCCATTGGCAGCCGGTGACCGGAGTTCGGTTCATACGCCTTTTTGAATGGGACCAGACATCCAGGACATCCAACAAGCCCTTTGTCCATACGTCTGCCGGTGAGCTCCAGTGAGCTTCATACGCCAGTCGTTGGAGGTTTGGAATCAGGGTTTAGCCATCTCCCCTAGACTGTCATCCAATGGACAGTCAACCCGGTGAAGAGCGCCGGGCATCCGCATGCAACAAATCACAAGAGAAAAACCGTGACGGTTTCGGGTAGGACATAAAGCTTCAACCGCACATAGTTGTTTCATACTTTTCTCTGCAATCTTTTTCGGCTGGTTTCAGGACCCTCGCCTCATTTATTAGTCGGTCTTGAGCCCCAAATAGGAAGGAGGGTTAGGCGTGAAAATAGCAGCTGTATCCCGATAAATCGATACAATCGCCAAAGAAAATTCAAAACACACAGAGAAAAAAATAATAAACTCTTCTCATTTCGAAGAAACAAAATGAAGTGGGTTAGGTTAGTGAAAGCCTTCAAGAAACCGATATCTATTCTTTGGATGTAAGCGAAAATAAACATGAGGATACAGAATGTCTGCACACTGAGCAAAAATTAGTGGAGATGAGGTAAAAGGGAGTGTAGAAATAGAAAAGAAACCAATAACAATGGGGAAAGTCTTAGAATTACTTATTAAACAAATGAGCTTCACTTGAGATGCAAATTACAGCCTTATATTAAACTTTCTTTCTAAGAAGACTATTTGTATCTTTCAGTTTATACTTTCCCTTGCCTATTTCCCTCTTCATCTTCTTTACTTCTCCCACCAAGACCTTAACAAGTCGGTTATTTTCTCTAGTGATCTCTATTCAGATGTACAAGCAACAACATTATCTTGTTGAAACAGATTGTTGTTCTGTTCCTTAAATGGTATGTACAATTGAAAACTTCATAATACCAATCAATCATGACAACATAGATTTCAGCTGTTTCCATAACTTCATACAATTATTTCCTTTGCTAAACTTAAACAAAGCAAAAAGAACATATTGAACAAGTTTTTAAAAAATGGCGTCATTATCTTCCGTTGGTTTTTGTAAGCTGTACACACTGTTATGATCAATAGCTAAAGTATTTAAGTAGTTTTTTTGATATTGATATTCAATTATATAGGCAGCTGGAAATAAGCAATGAAATATAATTACGATATTTTATTCTGCTCAATGTTTCCTTCTTGCTTTCTACAAATTTCCATAAATGGTTTGATATTGTGTTTAAAAAAAGGGACCAAATACTATGTAATTATTCACTGATTTGTTCAAACTATTACTGTAGCGTTATTGTGGTGAGTGCTACTTATAATCAGATATAAGTAGTATGTCAGTAAAAGGGTTCAGAAAGGTAACAATATGTTTCCGACACTGGAAAAAGCAATCGAAGAACACAACTGTGAGAAGAACGTTAGAAACACTGTGCAGAAATCAACAAGCTCTCGAATAAGGTGATATTCGACCAGTTTCCAAAAGTAGTACGAATAAAGCAATGGAGATATGGTACAGCAAATTTATGTACCTACAATCATTTTTTCCGTAACAAGCATTTCTTCGAGCCTCATTGGTCTTTTCTTCCTTGCATTTTTACCATCAATAACAGAAACAGTTCGTTCAATTCCAGCTGAGAATACACTGAGATTATTCAGAAATGAAATCCGGGGCTTTCATTGCACAGATAATTTAGTCATTCGAATTTCAGGAATGAGAGTCTTGAGTTAGGATGGGGGAAAAAATAATCAGTTGGAGAACCATCGGAAAACCGAGGAGTACTGGAGAGCTGTTTCATCCTAGATTGAGACTCTTTATCGATACGCACTCCCCGCCAGGGTTCGAACCCAGGACCTTCCGGTTACAAGGTGAAAGAAATCATAGACCACTCGGCCACTGGGACCCAATCGAAAAGCTCACTAATTCCAGCTCCAACCAATTCACGATATATATATATATATATATATATATATATATGGATCGGTAGTTAGATAACTATCCAACACCAGAAATAATGTGGGTAAGCGAATGTTAAATGCAATCGTACTGAGGTGACATCAACAAACAGTCCACTATCTCAGGATTAATGCAGCTTCCAGATAAATAAAGCAGACAACGCAATCGATAAATTCACTCTCTATCCTTATACTAGAAGTTGGCACAAATCAGTCAAGTAACACCTTACACTTGGGAGGAAAAAATACATGGCAAATATATTCAGATTTTACAGAACTTTACATTACTTGCGCATTACCTAAGTAAACAAGCTGTTTGTCCGGTAGGATGTCAATTACTGAGATATTTAACCAGAGTGAAGTCGCTTCTAATAGTAAATTTATAATGAAATAAAATTAGACATCGTTGACAGACACTATTCGTTTCCTTCACTTCAAGAAACTAATTTCCGTAATCTAATGCACAATTAAGTGACATCGAGTGTCGTGTCATGATCACAATAACACTTTCTCGGAAAAATTTTCCATAACCAGATAATACTACTTCTCAATGGCACTTTTACGTCAAGAATAATAGTCACTATCGAAAGCCAACAGGTATGTTGGTAATCAGGAGACAATTTAAGAGTGAAGACTTGATCAATACACCTTTACATTGATATAGAAATTAATGGAACTCTACGCAAATACTTCGAAAGGAAGAGTAGTGTTTTAACATAATAATAATAATAATAATAATAATAATAATCTACAGGCGGTTGCCGGAAAAGACAATTTCTCACGTAATACATGAAGTTGAAGGCAAAATAAACTCAATTTAAGAAAACAACCACTGTTGGTGGTTCATCGCTATGGGACACCGGAGAGATTACCAATGCCCTTCTCTAACTGTATCAGCTCCTTTATTTCAACCTTCCACTCAATCTTCTACTTCAGGCAGTAAACTTGACAGTTCCTAGTGAAACTCATTCTTAACTTCATTGAAAAACTGACCAGTAGGTGCTCAAGTCAGGTTTAACAACAGCATCGACTAGTAAATCACGATCTTATTCGCCATTGAAAGTCTAATTAAACTAACGTCGAAATTTTATGATATGAAGGTGAATGTCATTTACACATCTTCGAATCCACGAAAATTGACCAAATAATCTCTTGGTACCCACAAGATGAATTTATCAGAGTTATCTTAATTAACACTTGAGGTTAGGTATACAATTGAATTTGAGTCATGTGTAAGTATCCCAGAGTTACAATATACATCCATAGTTTGAGATATCAGAGTTCACAGTCATTGAAACCTGTTGTCCGATTTGTCGTATAGTTCAGAGGTTGAGATATAGTAGAAAATCGCCGTAAGTTTCACGCTTAAGAGAATACAATATATATGGGATATATATCCAAACCAAGTTCACTTTTTACAATTTGAAAATATTCCGGTATTGCGTATACCATATTTATTATTATAAAAGCTTATGCATTTCCCCCGAATGTATGAAAAACAAAACGATATTGTTTTCACTGATATTTCGCTATTTAATGCTGCTAATAGCTTTATCAAAGTATTATTAAACCAGAATTTACAAAACCTCAGTTTACATATAACAACTTAATCATCGTTCATCAGCATGGGGTAATTTTTACGTTGTCAAGTTGGCCGATTGGTAAAGATTTTGAGTTTACTAGAATCAGATACAACCGTGTCACAAATTGTCCACTGGACACCAGAGAAATAATTGAGAGCTTAAAATTCTGTCTGGAAAGTAATTAATTTACATTTAAAGGGAATTTATGTAGACAGACGAATGGTATTGTTATGGGTTCACCAGTTACCCCATTAGTTGCTGATCCCTTTATGAACAGATTAGAAAACATTTTTTCAGGCATACTCACGCCTAAAATATGGTCAAAATACGTTGATGATACTTTTGTTGTGCTAAAACGAGATCTACACAATTCATTCTTGGAGAAATTGAGCAATCTGTCTCCCAGAATCCAGTTTACTTCAGAAGCAGAATCAGATGTCGGTGAACTGCCATTTCCAGATTGCCTAGTTAAGAAGAGGGAAGATGGATATTTCAATATGATTGTATTCAGGAAGAAAACCCACTCCAACAAATATTTACACTTCGATTCATCACACCCCATCAGCGCAAAGCTAACAGTTGTTTCAAGTCTTTTTAGACGAGCACACTTTTTGATAAGAGATGAGTATTATTATTATTATTGCTCCCTTGGGTTCCTAGTGGAACATAGGGCTTCAACTACACGTCTCCACTTGCTTCTGTCTTCTGCTGTACTTTTCATTTGCATCCATGTTATTCCATACTGTTTCATCTCCTCCTCACACGATCTCCTCCATGTGACCCTTGGACGTCCCACTCGCCGCTTCCCTTTCGGGTTCCACTCGAGCTATGGCCTGACGCGCGATGTCACCCAACGGCCTCCTCAGCGAGTGTCCAATCCATCTCCACTTTCTCCTGCATATTTGCTGGGCGATTGGTTCCTGTTTTGTTTGTTCCCATAGCTTCTTGTTGGTGATTCTTTCCGGCCATCTAATCTTCAGTATGGAGCGAAGACAGTTGTTGATAAAGGTCTGCAACCTGTTGAAAATATTGTTTGTGACACACTGGCCAAGTTTCTGATCCGTATAGAAGAACTGACTGACTTGACGTTTGTATTGAAAATCCGAATTTCATTGTTGATGCAGAGATGAGTGAGGAAGATTTCCAGATTGGTTTCAGGTTGATGAATGTGTTTCTCGCCTTACCGATTCTCGATTTGACATCCTCGTCCGTTCCTCCTGTAGTTGAGACAATGCTCCCTAGATAAGTGAATGAAGTAACCTCTTTCAAATCCCTCCCGTTGATGGTGATTGGCGCTGGATGTTGCTGCTGTTGTTGTTGTTGTTTGTTGGTTATTTTCATAACCTCCGTCTTGTCTATGTTCACCTGGAGTCCTGTCTTTACTGCTTCCTCGACCAGTTTGTCGGTATTCACTTGTAAGTCTTCGATTTTGTAAGACATCAAACATAAATCATCCACGCGCGAAATCCAGGTCTTCTAGATTCTTCACGTCGGTCCAGGATATCCCTGTCTTCTCGTTTCCTACTGTCTGACGCATAATCCAGTCCACCACAATTAGGAATATCATTGGTGATAATAAGCACCTTTGTCTGACTCCTGTGTTTACTCGAAACGCTTCGCTGAGTTTTCCGTTGTGGATCAATTGACACGTGCCGTTGTCGTACAGATGTTGAACAACGTTGATGAATATTTGGGGTACGCCGTAGTACTCGAGTAGTTTCCAAATTACTTCGCGGTCAACGCTGTCGAAGGCCTTCTCAAAGTCTACAAAGCTGAGGTAGAGATTTGATTGCCATTCCATGCTTTGTTCGATGATAATGCATAGAGTTGCAATTTGGTCAGAACATGATTTGCCTTTCCTGAATCCACCTTGTTCTGGTCGGAGTTCTGTATCCAGTGCGTCCTTTATTCTCTCCAGGATGAAGAGGTGAGTAGGAAAAAGAAAAGATATAAAACATTACTAAGACTCTCAAGAAAATTAACTACCTAAAGAACTTTATCAACAAAATCAACACCGACATTAAATATGGTTGAAAACGTATTCCGAAGACATGAGCCTCAACAGATGTCATTTCATATAGAGATCACAGACGTCACACGATGTCAGAAGAGTACTCAATAAGCACAACATCGCGGTTTTCTTCGAAACATCAGACACACTACAAAGCAACTTTGTCCATATCAAAGACCGAATCCCTAAATATTCAATATCTAATTGTGTCTATAAAATAAAATGCTTGGAATGTGATGCGATATACATCGGACAAACATCGCGAGAAATCAAAATTAGAAGAAATGGACACCATGGAGCATCTGTTCGGCCACCAAGAAATCCAGTTGAACTAGAAAAGTTTGAAAAATCACCAGCCATAGGTCTACATGCTATAGAATCAGACCACAAAATTGACTTTGACAATATTAAAATAATTCAGAAAAATTTCAGAAATAACAAAGAACGTCTAATATCAGAAGCACTTCATATCAAGTGAAATCCAAAATCCACGAAATAAAACGAGCTCGTATTATCCTGCAAACATGTTCGTTCTTTCTCTCTTAAAACTAATAAAGGGAACCAGTTGCATGAAATCCAAATTGTCTGAATACGAATGATGGACCAAAACAGAATTTGACCTGGTTACAACACCCCTTCCCCATGAAATAACAAAATCAACACGAATGTGATAAGCAGTTTCATTATGTAAACACACGCTGCTTTTATAATCTTATACACTTAACAAATCCAACAATCTATACCTGGTTTTGTTATGTTTACCAATTGGCCAACTTGACAACGTAAAAATCACCCCATGCTGATGAACGATGATTAAATTCTGATTTGACACTAGTAACTAGTGTGATATGTCTGGTCCTCTTTTTTGGTGCAGACTGAATTCTGTCAGTCAGGTTTGCAATGTGGCCACCATGCCACTAGGTAGCTCGCCATCACGGTGCACATTGATTTGATGATATTAGATGGTTGGAGGCAATCGATAGGAAGCTTTGGACCTAGGTTTCGTGCTAGTTGGCACTCATCAGCAAGGCGTATCTGCAACCTTGAAGGAACTCATGTACCTTCTGAGATTCGAACCCGCGTCACCACCCAGTGTTAAAGTCAGAGACGTTATAAATAAATAAAATAAATAAATAAACTGAGACTTTGTAAATCCTGGTTTAATAATACTTTGATAAATCTATTAGCAGCATTAAGTGGAGAAATAGCAGTAAAAAGAATATCGTTTTGTTTTTCATACATTGGGGGAAATGCAAAAACCCTTACAATATATGGGGGTTAAAAAATGTCTTCACACAGTGAATGTAACTCCTAAGAGAATACCGAAGAAAAAAATCAACTTAACAGCATCATATGTGCCTAGAAGTGCTGAAACAATCCAATGATTGAGAAACTTCATGCATTTATTCCCCTTGATGAATTTAAATAAAGGAAGGACAACAGTGGTTTGTGCAGAATAATATGGTATCATCATTTATTTCATCGGCTTCTCATCAGCTGCCTACAGCCTAAATAAATTATGAGCTTTACGTACAGAAAAGTTTTCACATACTTGCAAATTTTACATGTCAGTTGACAGAAAGTTCCACAATTAGTGAAAAGTGCTCAGAAAATTGTGCTTTTATAGTTCAAGTCAAAATAAATGTATGCATACAATGGTAAAAAAGTTACGTAATAAAGACGAGAGGTGAGTAAGATGATGAGTAACTAATAAATTTGGTAACCATGTGCTGAGTTCAAATCACGTCATAGAAACAAGAGACAAGCAATATTACAGATTTAAAAAAAAGAGGGGTGAGGTTAAAGACAAAGATTACGTAATCAGAGTAGAGAATAACTGCAAGTATGTTAAAACTTTTCAGTACGTAAACCTCACAATTTACTTAGGCTGTAAGCAGTTGATGAGAAGCCGACGAAATAAATGATGGCACCATATTATTCTGCACAAACCACTGTTGTTCTTGCTTTATTTAAATCCAATGATTCACTTCTTATTTCAATTTTTGTGCTTAAATCAATTTCAACTTTTATACAACAAAGTACACTTTTATTACATATTGAATAGATAACCAAAAAGTCAATTTCACCACAGGTTTCTTCTTCAATAGAAACAATGTTAACAAAAAAAATAAACGCTTACATCAACTACTGCATCATGATAACCTCTCCATATATCAATCACTTGACCCATACGTAGATCTAAGGCAGTAATTATACCAGTTGTAAAACCACATAATAAATAATAACCATTTTTAGCCATAGATAAACGATTCAATACACCAGCCATATTTGTATTCATAGACATTAAAGATGTTGAAGAATTAGAATTCATATTCATATGCATCATCATCATTGTTGTTGTTGCTGTTGTTGTTGTTGACGTGGAATTGTTGAAATGAAATAAATTAGGCTGAAGGTGTTCAGTTAATTTATGTAGAATTTTTGTAATAGATGTGTCAATTGTAGACCGACTGTAAGAAGGAGCTGGAAGAAAACAAACAAAAAAACAAAACAATAACAATGAGAAAGAAATAATAATAATAATAATTTGCTTTATTCCAAAACAGTACTTGTGATTCAGAATGGAATTCTCAGCATTTTTACTACAGTATTGCATCCAGTTTGTACATTATCAATAATTAAAATTCTACATAGATTAAGGAAATCTCAGTTCATTAAGACAACAACATATTGGGATGTCGGTAGCAAAGGAAAGCTGAAAACAGTGTTTGAAGGTGTTAGAAAAGTAGGTGCTGTCATATTTACTGGCGTAAGCGAGAGAAAGAAACAAAGCAGCACATAACGGAAAGAAAAGAAAAAAAGAGAGAGAGAAAATAGGAAAAGAAAGAAAGAAAATGTTGTACCTATAAATGATATTAGTTGGAAAGACAAGGTCCAGTTGTACTACTGACTATTTAATGAATTATAGGTGTCACGCCTAATGCTTTCTTTATCACACAGAACCCGAGCTAAGTAGGGTAGGGTTAAGTTTTTGTACTTGCTGGTGCGAGCATATAGTTTTCTATATAGGCTTCTGGTTTTGCCTGATGAGATGCAAGGGGAGAGTTGTGAGTGAAGAGGGTGGTGTGAGTTAGATAAAATGGATTTGACCCATTTTTCACATGAGTCCATGTGCCTGTCAACCAGAATATTAACAAGCTGGTTAAGTGGCACGTTGCCTACCCTGCTGACAACATTTAACATCCTGCGTAATATGTTATAGTCTTTCTTCAGTAGCCCGGGAAAAACTAAGGGAGAACAATAGATAATAATAGGCAGAATGCGAGAGTTAACGAATTGTAGGAGTAAGGGTTGGGTTATACCAGAATGTTTTAACTTCTTAATGTAGAAGGTAAGAGGGAATATTTTCTTAGAAATCGCCAAGATATGAGACGACCAGGAGAGATCAGCAGATGGAATGACGCCTAGGTATTTAATTCCCGACTTGGTTTCTATTTCAGTGCCATCGATGTTGCATACTTCAGGAGAGCCAACCAGTTTGTCTAGGTCAGATTTATGCCTAAAGGTGAAATTGACTGTTTGACATTTGGAGGGAAAGAAAAAAAGATAATAAAATCTTGAGTTGATTGTGTATAAACTAAAAAAAGCACACACACACACACAGCAACAACGTCGTATTGATTACCGTAATTCAAGCGAAGTGGTATTCCTGACAAAGTATCTACCACTTGAGAACAATTGAAAAACAAAGAGTTGTTTTGTAGCAGTTAAAAAAAAGCTTGGCGATGGAAGAAAACACGGTATGATTCAGGGTCAAGGTTGAAAATAACCAAATCTCTCAGTGAACATTTCGTTATTTTCAACCATTGTAATGAAAAGAAATGACAAGCGTTTTTTTTAAATATCATTAAATAATTAGTAATTCCCTCACCATTTGCTGTCTCTATCCAATTAAGGCTTCTAATAACTATGTGAAATTTATTTAGCGGGTAATGATTGATGCGCACTAGACAAGTGTTCACTAGTAAGTTCTATGCAGAAAACATCAATATTAGTTTAGCCCGTAGAATGAAACGTGGTCGGCTAGAAAACAAACGATGACCAATTGTTTATTACTATTATTATACTCTTGGGTCCTAAGTGGAACATAGGGGGCTCCAGCAGCACATTTCCATTTTATCGTGTTCTCTGCAGTCCTCTTCAGTTGGTACCAAATGCTTTCATCTCCCTAACTGAGGTTACTAAGGCTGTTACGAGTCTGAAAAGAGGCAAAGCTGCGGGACCTGATGGAATGACTCCAGAGGTATTTAAGGATGACGGAGACAGTTTACTGTCTGCGTTAACTAAGGTAATAGGCAGCGTCTGGAAATCAGAGGAAGTCCCATCGGGTTGGTGTAAGTCACTGATCATCCCGATATACAAGAAGGGAGACAAGTCTTCTTGTGATAATCACAGCGGGATTGGCTTGACTAATATGGTATCTAAAGTTCTAGGCTCAATAATCATGCGTAGACTAAGTGGTGCTCGGGAGGCACAAACACGAGAAAACCAGGCAGGCTTTATACCAGGAAGAGGACGTATTGATCATATCTTCACCCTTCGACAGATTGTGGAACACAGGCGTACTTACCGGCGTCCAAAAATCGTCATATTTCTTGACCTTAATTCGGCATTCGATTCTGTCGACCGAGAGGTACTCTGGCGATGCTTGGCTGTAAAAGGAATGCCGAGAAAATACGTTGCACTGCTCAAGGCACTCTACTCGAACTCATGCAGCCAACAGAGAACTTATGGTGAGTTTTCATCTGAACTGGTGATAACTAGTGGTGTCCATCAGGGATGCCCACTATCCCCAAATCTATTCGATTTCATCATAGATGTACTAATGGACTTAACCCTAACACACTTCAGCGACTCAGGGATTGACTTTTTACCAGGGAATAATCTCGTAGACTTAGAATATGTGGACGATATAGTCCTTCTAGGCGAGGACGCCGACAAAATGCAGAATCTTCTGAACACCTTGAGCAGCAATCTGCTAATCTTTGGCATTCGATTCGCTCCCGCCAAATGTAAGATGATGCTACAGGACTGGACTGGACTACATTTAACTCCTAGCTTAGAAATAGGGAGTGAAGTGGTAGAGCGTGTTGACCATTTCACTTATTTGGGAAGTTGCATCAGCTGGTGTCAGCGAGTTGATGGCTGACAAAATCTCAGCATGGATACAGAAGGCTAGCTTCGCATATGCCAGTTTACGCCGTCTCTGGCGTGGATGTGATATCCTGCTGGCTCTCGACCAAAGGACGTGTTTGCTGCTCATCAGTCCACTCCGTCCTCTTTTATGGCAGTGAGATATGGACACTGGAAGTAGAAGACATGAAAAGGCCAGCTATCTTTGATCATAGGTGTCTGTGTTCTATCTCCCGTGTTACCTGGTATAATACGACAAGTAATATTGAGGTTAGGCTCGGTCGAGTGCTAGGTAAGGAGGGGAAATCAATCGACAAGGCTGTGAAGCTACATCATTTGAGATGGTTAGGACATGTGTTACGTATGCCTAGTCATCGCCTTCCTCGACGGGCAATGTTAGCTGACATAGGGTCACGTTGGAAAAGAACTAGCGGCGGTCAAACCAAAACATAGCTTCATCAGTCGGTGCAATCCACAACAGTTAGTTTAAACCAGCCAGCCAGTCACGTAGGGAGGTGCAGACTGTCAGGCTGTTTGGGATCCACGGGATGGTAAACACCAATGAAGGCTGGAGACAATTGGTGATATGGCTCAAAATCTTTCTGAATGGCTGGTGCAGATGCATCCACTCCTTGCGACTTATAATATCCAATAAAACTATATTGTTCTTCGATATTTGTATTCTTTTTGCCTGATATCTCTGTTTACCATCTCTATTTCTCATTTCTTTTTACTTTCTTCTTCTTCTTCTCTGGCTTTGTATGCTGAGTGAAGTGTGGCGACTCGAACTACTGCACTTCTGTGCAAAGTTCTCTGTCGAAACCAATCAGTCATTCAGTCATATCCTGCTTCTATGATTTCCTTCATTTAGACCGAGACGTCCAACTTGTCGTTTCTCATTCAGTTTCTGATCAAGGACTTGGCACGCGATGTAGCCCTAACAGTCTCCTTAGAGTGTGTGTCCTATCCATCTTCACTTCCTACGGCATATTTTTTGAATAATAGGTTCTTGGCAACTTCAGTCTTAGAGTTTCTTGTTGCTAATTCTTTCTGGCCATCTGATATTCAGTATAAAGCCAGCAAAGGCAGGTCTTGGTAAAAGTCTGCAGTCTGTTCGAAAAGCGCTAAGTTTCTGAACCATATAGAAGAACAAAACTTAACATTGATGTTTCAAATCCGAATTTTGTTCTTTATGCTGCGGAGCGCAGATGATTTGCAAACTGATTTCAGAGTGGTGAAGGTCTGTTTTGCCTTTCTGACTATGGTTTTGACATCTTCGTATGGGACACCTGTAGTTGAAACGATGCTGCCTAGATAAGTGAAGTGACCTCTTCCAAATTCCTCCCGTTGATAATGATTGGTCCGTGTTGTGGTTGGTTGGTTGGTTGGTTACTTTCATCACTTCCATCTTCTCTCCTGTCTTAGCTATCAGTCGCTTCTGCTAACTTACTGGTTTCCGCCTGTATCTTCGAATTTGTGTGACATTAGACATGTATCATCTGCGAAATCCAGATCATCTAGAGTCTTCTTATCAGTCCAATGTAATCATGTATTATTGCTCCCCAAAGTCTCCCACATAATCCAGTCTACCAGAATTAGGGATATCATCGGCGATAGTAGGCACCCTTGTCTTACTCCTGGATTCACTTCAAAGGCTTTATTGAGTTTCCCATTGTGGGCCACTTGACATGCAGCATTATCACGAAGCTGTAGAATGATGCTGAAGGAGGTTTGGGGCGCTCCATAGTATTGAAGCAGTATACGAATTACTTCAAGATCGATGCGGTGACATTAGAAAACTTTTCAGAAGTCCGAATCAGTAACTTCATCTACATAAACCATACGTTAAAAGAAACTTAGGTACATACACAAAAGTTGTATATTTCACCTCACAGACAAGATTAGCAAGTAGGTTTGTTTTAGGCGCAAAATTTGTAAGATTTTGATTGTTTCTAGAGAGACTAATTTTTCTTTTGATTGCAGCTTGATTCCACACCGTATTTTTTTGGTACAGGTATGGAATTTCCAGCATGTGATATTAGTAGCCTAAATTTTGCAGGCCGACCATAGATATCAGGTGTGCGTCGGCTGGGGATCGAACCCCGGACCATGTGCATTGTCGGCGAGAGTCCTAACCATTGTGCCACCAACGCAATTAATGAAATTAAAAAACCACTTTCTTCCTGACTTATAACCACCTTCCTCAGGTACCCGCTCACGACTCCATGAGCGATCAAATCTAGGACTATTAATTCAAAACACAACAACACTAACCATTCAGTCTAATAATTTATGATTCCAAACTCCTGGTAATTCACTATACAAATACATCGGTGCCACTGCAGATAAGGACTTTAAAATCAAAGAAGTCACGACAAGAATTTTACTGACTTTAGATATGATCTGTTTGTACTATGCTAAGTGTACTGTAGAAGGGTACCAGGCACAAAACATTCTTACTCACTAAACATCAAATCTCAGAGGAAATTAAACCATATTTATCATAGTTTGTGACTTCAAAATCCTAATTACATTAAAAAAAAAACAAATCAATTCAGGTGATAAGACATAGAGGCAGTAAGATATGTAAAGAATAGGAAGTAATAAGACGCAGGCACAAAACAGATAGGCAGAAAATAATAGGCTTGGAAAGTTGATTACTAACAAACTAACAAGTCTGTGCAGCTGTCTGCAAAAGTAAAAGAGAATAAGAAAATAATCAAGGCATCGGCTAAGCCCAGCAGTTTATTGTCATCTCGAGGTTTAATCAATTGTCAGAAAACAGACAAGCACACATACACACACACACATTATTAATGCACAGACAGGTATTATAATGTGGTAAGTCAATCTTTACCGACTTCACAACTACATAACACCTAGAGTTTGACATGAAGGAAAACAAAACTGAACATGATATAACACTAATCGTAAAACACTGTAAGGTGAGAGAATAAAAAACGTATACAGCAGTATGGTATTACAAAAGATATAGAAGCATGTACTTCATTGTTTTGTTTATTATATTCCTTCACATTCCCCAGTGGAACATAGGGCTTCAGGCTAGTGGCTTGAAGTTTCTGTAGCAGTGGTGTTTATTTTTACGGGATTGGGTTGCTATAGCCTCATGCCCAACCTTTCCTCTTCACCAGTTTTATTTCTGGCTTAGCGAGGTAAAGGAGTGCGCCGGCCGGGGATAGAACCCCGGACCATGTGAGTATGCTCGGCGAGCGTACTAACCGCTATGCCACCGACGCACATGTACTTCATTGTAACTGCTTTTAAATTATATCGACTAGAATTTCCGACTACGGATTTCATTGGTCTTCTAGACGTCAGCTGGGTTACATAAATTCTTTTAAACAAAGATTATAACAGTGGCCAGAGTTCTCATAAACTGCCATGATAACTTAGTCTGATCACCTCTGTTGTTTCTCTTTAACCAGTAGTACCATTTAAGTCAATACAAAGTTAGGGTAAATGACAGATATACATGTACAAAGCCTCACCCGACTATCTTCAACGAACAAAAAGACTGAGGATGCAAATTTAGCGTGTGACAAGGAGGAGTAAAGTCCCAAGCACCAAAAAGTATCCAAAACTGGTATCAATTTACAGAAATAAAATACCAAAAATAAAAAGAAACTATTCCTTAAACTTACTCAATTTAAGATCAATGTCTTGTGCATTTGTAGAAGTTTTATTAGAATCATTTGTAGGAGGAGTTTCAACTTTTATACGTTCTTTACTCAGTAGAAATGAAGCTAAGGATGCACCACTATGAAAACGTAGACCACCCGTCTGTTTAGAGCATTTTACTCGAGGATCAATTAAATGTACAAAAGCTGAATGATCAGAACAGATTACAGCTCCATAAGGAACAGCACTACACTCAAGTGCAGTTAAATTTTGCCAACCTGAATTCTCAGAATGACTGTTAGATCGCACCTAAGATGTAAAACAAACCAGAAATGAAATGAAATTTATAAGAAAATGTATTGGAGGTCAGACTAGTAGTTGTTAAAGTATTGTAAAAAAAATTAACAAAAATCTAGGAGAAATTAACGTATCCACTTAACAGGTTATGTAGAAAGAACAGTATCTGTTCTACTATATTCATAGAAGTTATATACCTTTCATTCATTGACAAAACAAAAACATGGCATCAATCCATGAAATCCCTGACAGTTAAACTGAGTCAGGTAGGGAGATGCAGACTTACGGGTTGGGGCCCACCCTCGGGACTCTAAGAATCAATGGCTGGAGACAATAGGTGACATGGCTCAAAATCGTTGTCAATGGCGCAGATGTATTCAGTCTCTGTAATCTTTCATATTCCTTTCTACCATTGCTCATTCTGTTCCACTCTTATATTTGTCAAAACTCTATTGATTCTCTTCAATCATCTTCTTGTCTACCTTTGTGTGCTATTTGGAACGTGGCAACTGGAACTGCTGCACTTCGGTGCCAAGTTCTATGTTGAATCCAGACAGACAGACTCATTGACTCCAATATCAACTGACTTTCTCCTTAGATAAATAGAAAAGTGCTGATTATTCTATTCAGTCATTTCTTTTGCAAGTATAACATGGTAAACTTACAGGTACGGAAATCACTTCCTCTCATTTGTACAAAAACTTTTATTGAGTACAGACTTCATGAATGGTAACATGTTTTTTGGAAAATTTCACCGTAAAAGAATAGTATCATGGACATTTCAAAAACTATAAACTGCCTAAATGTCATTCACGCTTTTCTATTTCAACATTTACAATACAGATGATGAGTTTGAAAAATGCAGTTACTGAGCTTCGAATGGAACACACTCACACACACACACACATATGGTTTTAAGCTTTGAAGTTTCAAAAGCGAGAGTGTTGCCGTTGAACGAGGTGAAATTGCTAGCCTTCTACATAACCCGACCGAAAGCTGCTACCTTGACGTGGTGGTCGGGCTTGCATATCGCAATGACCCAACGAGCTACACTGGCTGGAACTTAAGCTCCTGTAGGTCCTACCATGCCAGAAAGGTTGTTTGGATAGCGGTTAGACAAAAAGCAGCTACCCAATCCAATGCCATGACTCAAACAAAAACACAAAATATCATGCCGGATCGGTCGGGGCCCGGATTAACAACGACCGCGCTTCCTGCTGCCATGTCACAGGGCAGAAGTGATAAATACGCTACTGAGACACACCAAATGAAAAACAACAAACAAAAACAGGCAACGTGTGACCGGCCTCAAGCAGTTGTCCCCTGGGCTCTGCGGTCACGCAACCAACTTCCACGGTGTGGGCAGCCGGGAAGTAACAATCGCCCTCACAATCCGAAGTGCACACGAAACCTCTCTAATCCTCACTCACCTTTGTCTTCATCTTCATCTCTATTATCTTGCCTTCCTTCTACTAATGCAACTCCTCTACTTAATGGCTCTTCACTTCCTCTTCACTCTGTGTGCACTGATAACGACCAACCGACATAACCTTCCCTCTTTTCTAAAACTTACTACCGGCTGAGCGAGGTTTAGGAGTGTGTCGGCCGGGAATCGAACCCAGACCTTCAAAGTGGCTGATGAGCATTCTACCAGTGAACTATTATTCTGAACAGACAGAATTTTTATCAGTGGAAATTACTGCACGTTAGTTTCCCCTGTTCAGGATCTTCAAGTAAAACGGTAACTGACAGTATATCGTGTAATACACTGCTGTCTGACCTGAAGCGAAAACCAATCCCCTATGATATTTCTTCTTTGCCTCCTTCGAAAAATGCCCAACATTTGGTTGACAGCCAGTTGAAAAAGGTGTATGAGTAGACTTTTTGACCGAAGAATATAATAATGGCTGAAAAAGTGAAGACTGCAACCAATTATTTTTATTTCACAGTCAACTGGTGTTTTCAGGATACGTTGCCTGCCAACCATGATGCTACTTCTTTTTAGATTTAGTAAAAACTGACGAATCAGCAGGTTATAGACATTTTAAATGCTCATGAGAGTAGAAAACACCATTAGAGGCCATATTTTAATAGATCCAGACAAACGAAGCAAGAGAAATTATTTGCAATATCATGATGGAGTATATTAGTAGCGCAGGGATTGAAACAGGCCGCCAGTTAAATTATACACTAGTTCTCTCAAGTAACTAGCTAGAATTAGAGTGGTTCGAATTGATTCAGCTCTCTGACCTGAATCTATACACGCACAGCCCTAGTTTGCTTGAATACAAACAAGTGAAGCTCCATTGTATTTCCCAATGAATGAAAAACAAAACGATATTGTTTTTATTATTAGCAGCACTGAATAGCGAAACGTCAGTAAAAACATTATCGTTTTGTTTTTCATTCATTTTTTTAAAAAATTTCTTTACGTCCCCAGTGGAACATAGGGCTTCAAGCTAGAGGCTTGAAGTTTCTGTTGTAGAGTTTATTTTTACAGGATGGGGTTGCTGGCCTCATGCCCAACCTTCCCTCTTCACCAATCTTATTACTGGCTTAGCGACGTAAAGGAGTGAGTCGGCCGGGGATAGAACCCCGGACCATGTGCATGGTCGACGAGCGCCCTAACCGCTGTGCCACGAACGCACTTTTTTTCATTCATTGGGGAATACAAAACCTTCATTATAATGAATATCATATACCCAATACCCAAATTTTTTCAAACTGTTAAAAGTGAACTCAACGTTTAGATAACTTAGATCTGGTTATGAAACACTACTGGTTGGTGTAAATAGTTTTCAACTACTTATATCAAACAGTAGTTTATATAATCTTGTTAAAAGTCAATAAAAATTGAGGAGGAATGATAACACAATTTGTTATAAGTTTAATAACTAATATATATATCTAATATACACACAAAAAAAAGAAATACAAGAAAGTAAAAAATTTACCGTTTGTCCTGTACACGGATCCCAAAAGAGTAGATTGCCATCAATAGAAGCTACCAGTCTATGAGGTTCCAGATAGTGAGCAGCTATTACAGACTTTTTATGTGCTCTATATACTAAACGAGCAATTAACTGTTGACTATTTGAATCAACAGACGGTGTATTCTTGCTTGAACTACTCACACTGTTGCCTTTTTGATTTCCTGATGATGATGATGACGATGCTAAGCAATGACTGCCAAGATTATATGTAGTAGCCAAAGACCACAGTTGTACAGTTTTATCACGACTTGATGTAATGAAACAATTTTCAGTATTTAAACATGTGATACGATTAATTTTACTGGTATGACCTGAAATGCAAGTAAAATAATTTGAGAGAAACGCAGTGATTCAAGTCTGGTGGAGAAAATAAGTCAATGCATAGAAGAAGAAGACGAAGAAGAAAGGTGTAAACAAATGAAAATGCATCAGAGTAAGCAGGCAGGGATAGATAGCTACAGAGAAATATCTATTTCATACATTTATTCCCCTTAATGAATTTGAACAAAGCAAGAAGTACAGTTTTAGCAGAATAAAATGGTACCATCTCTTATTTCGTCGCCTTCTCGTCAGCTGCTTACAGGGCAAAGACATTATTAAATCATGGAAAATTCCCATTGTAACATATAGAAAATCAAAACAAATGATTCAGCGAAGAGACTCTTTTCAACGAATTTATCATCAAGCTGTACAATCGTATATATATGGTTTTTAAGAAGTTATATCCGGTGAGGGAATTGAAACATAGGTGTGAATGCATGAAATAATAATAATATGAAGTGCAATTAAAACTAAAATGTTTGTGATTATAATCGTAGTTAAAGGTCAAGTGGCAAAGCAAATTTCCTGAGAATTGTGAGAGATACGTGTTCAATCACTCTTCCATATCCCTATCAAAATTGCAAATGGAAGCCTTGTCAATGGGTTCGAAGTTTTGCGATGTTAATCTCAATATCAACAAGCTAAATACACATGTCCAGTTTGAGAATCTACTCAGTCAAACTTATGATCTCACACCATCGTGGAAGATGAGCTATACATCTTGAGGAAAGTCCTAATAGAAAATGGATTTCCACCACGTTTTATAGATAAGAATATTCATTCAAATCCTAAAAAACGTGAGTTATCAACCGTACCCAAGAAGACACTTTACATGAGCTTGGAATTCAAAGGGGACTTAGTTTCCGATATCATGAAACGGAGGATATCACAATCCCTGAAAAGAACATTCTCTGCTGCATCCCTGAGAATAGCCTTTTCTAGTCGACCATTATTGTTCAATAACCTGAAGGACAAAATCCCGCTGTTGACCAACTCTATGTGTGTTTATCAATTCACCTGCTCTTGTGGAGCTAGGGATATCGGTCGTTCGACACGAGTTTTGTCCAAGAGGGTGCAAGAACACTATCCTGCATGGTTACGAAAAGGTGGTAGTGGAGCAATAAGAAGCGCGATCATTGAACATCTGGTCGAGAATGATCACCCTATCTCTATAGCCTCCGCCTTCAAAGTCATCTACAAGGCAAAGAGTAATCTACCCAAATCCCTACGTACCCGACTCATCTGTATTGCTGAAGCTTTGGCTATCGAAACAGAAAAGCCAGATCTCTGTGTACAGAAGAAGTTCGTTCAACCCCTCCAACTTTCATGGTCTTAATCCCTCTATGCTAAAGTATGGTAATCCCCAATCATACTTTAGCTCTACCAACTCTCCATTTTTTTCATTTTTTCATTTTTGTCTATTCAATTTGTATACTCTTCCTTATTAAGTCAATTGTTACTATTACTACTCTCATTTTTAATTGTCCCCGGTATTATTTCACTTGTTCCACTTGTCATTCTAAATCAATTCCTTTATGCAACATTAAATTCTATGCTATTAAATTTCACACAATATTACGTAACGTTTTTATTTTTTCGATTTGTCTACTAATCTTATAATTGCACACCTTTTTCAAGTTCTATCCATCCTATGAATTATTCTATATATGACATTAATTTGCTTTGCCACTTGACCTTTAACTACGATTATAATCACAAACATTTTAGTTTTAATTGCACTTCATATTATTATTATTTCATGCATTCACACCTATGTTTCAATTCCCTCACCGGATATAACTTCTTAAAAACCATATATATACGATTGTACAGCTTGATGATAAATTCGTTGAAAAGAGTCTCTTCGCTGAATCATTTGTTTTGATTTTCTATACATTATTAAATGTATCTAAAACAAACAATTTTAACATACTAGCACAGAGTTCATTTTAAACAAAAATCAATCGACCAATATACGCATACACTAATACATATATATATATGCAGTATTAAACACAATTCCGAACAACAATAATAATCATAAACAATGAAAACTTTTCAGCATCTCGCATTCGGATGAAAAATATCCAGTTACCAGGGCAAAGAAAGACTGATAACTGCTTCTTTATGGACGCACAAATCAGGTTTTAGGCGCTTGATGGAAATAACTTCAGAAAACTTAAGGAGAATTGAGCTCTTTTGCCTATTGATGATTTTAAACGACTTTTCGACGTCCACCTCATGACCCCATGTCGAGGGGATGCCTGGCGATGGCACTGTTTAAAGCATTTGTTCCAGAAAATGGTAGATATGCTCTTCTTTCTGTCCTTCCAATGTAACTGCTCCCACAGATGCATGTAAATTTGTATGCTTTAAACAGTGCCATCGCCAGTCATCTCCTCGATACGGGTCATGAGGTGGACGTCGAAAAGTCGTTTAAAATTATCAGTAGGCAAAAGAGTTCAATTCTCCTCAAGTTTGCTTAAGCCATTTCCATCAAGGTCATGAAACCTGATTTATGCGTTCAGAAAGAAGCAGTTATCAGTCTTCCTTTGCCCTGGTAACTGGATATTTTTCATCCGAATGCGAGATGCTGAAAAGTTTTCATTGTTTATGATTATTATTGTTGTTCGGAATTGTGTTTAATACTGCATATATATATATATATATATATATATGTATTAGTGTATGCGTATATTGGTCGATTGATTTTTGTTTAAAATGAACTCTGTGCTAGTATGTTAAAATTGTTTGTTTTAGATACATTTAATAATGTCTTTGCCCTGTAAGCAGCTGACGAGAAGGCGACGAAATAAGAGATGGTACCAATTTATTCTGCTAAAACTGTACTTCTTGCTTTGTTCAAATAACTATTTAACTGAAGTATAATTAGGGTTTAATTAAAATATAGATCAGCCAAGAGATCAATTGTTCGACTCCTGGCATAGCTGAAGTTTTCTTCGCAACTTCAATGAACATCATCCTCATCGATTTGTTGCATTGGAATAAATTAGTCTCAAATAATTATCGCTACACAATAAGACTTCACTGACAGAATTCATTTTGTACCAAAACCAAGTACTACACGCGGGACATTGGTTATTCCGTAATGATTAATCAATACATCTATTACAGTCCTGAAGAAAGTCAACCGTGAGCCCCAATAATTCAGTGATAATGTCTCTGAATACAGCATTTATTGACGGGAGTTAGAATTCAAGAAGGGATATGAGTCTCTTCAACGTTGCAGGCATGCCTCGCTGACGACAGTCAACAAGCAGGAAACCAAGGTTCATTAATTCTAAAAGATGACCTCAAATGACCTAATACTGTGTAATACATTACTATGCAAACAGGTAATCACTACAAGAGTTATATTAGTATTTAAAATCATGCAAATTCGAGTACAAGGTAATTTGATAGGAATATTTTTATATTTCAAATCACACACGTCAGACACTATATTTTACTTTGATTGATTTCAAAACTTCAAGACTCATGTGCACCCAACAAATGGGTATGCACAGACCTACACACACTCACTTAAATAGTGATTGACGCCCAATTAACAAATTAGCACTTCTATAATTCCATTTTAAAATCTAATCGACTGAGTGATTTTTCTTTTTCAAAATGATGAATAGACACACAGGAGTTCAAAATTACCTAACAATTCGATAGGTAGTGTTACAATAATGCTCAGTCAGTCAATACTGCCTACCACTGGTTTGATAACATGTCAAGCATTATCAGGTGAAAGTAAATTATGCGAAACTTTTGAAAATGTCATGCCCTAATTATTAAACGACGCATAAAGATGATAATTATTGCATTAATATGCTTCATACATAGTTGTCTAATCAAGGCCTGACTAAAGTGAGAGAACAAGTTTGATGACTACCGAAAATAACTGTAAGTAACAAAAAATATATAAACCAATTCAGTAATTAAAGTGTGTTCCTGATCCATTTTTTTTATTCCTTCACGTTCCAAATGGAACATAGGGCTTCAAGCTAGAGGCTTGAAGTTTCTATAGCAGTGTTTATTTTTACAGGATGGGGTTGCTAGCTTAATGCCCAACCTTTCCTCCTTACCAAGCTTTATTTCTGGCTTAGCGAGGTAAAGGAGTGCGTCGGCCGGGTATCGAACCCCCGACCATGTGCATGGTGGGCGAGAGTCCTTACCACTATGCCACCGACGCACGTTCCTGATCCATAACATAAAATAATTGATAATCTAACATGAATATGAGTGATAGATACTGCAACTACAGTGAGGACATGCATAGCTTTAATTAAGTTATCTTCAATTCGACAAACGGGTCACGGGATTATTGCAAAACAATAATAAGTAAGGTGAACAAAGAAACACCATTTTGTATTCTTTTTGTGGGGATTATTTGATAATTGCATTGGACGTTGTAAGTGTAATCTCTCTGTAAACGCGTAGCTGAAAGGTGAGCAAAGGACGACAAAGTCTTCAATCTGTGAACACCTTCTTGAGTCAGGTAATTCAGTCCCAAGTGATTTATCCTTTAAAGTCATCTACAGGACCAAATTCAATCACTCCAAAAGTTTACGTTTTCTCCACTTATGCATAGCCGAAGCTCTAGCTATATATGGACATAAATTTCTTTAGATTATAGATTTTGGACGGATTTGGATTAGTTTTAAATCAACAATGAAAATAATCCGAATTCCTACAAAATTCTTTAACCTAACTATCACTTTCTAGGTTTCCTGCTAGTTGGCACTCATCATTCAGCAAGGCGTATCTGCAATCTTGAAGGAGCCCAGGCCCCTCCTGAGATTCAAACCCGCGTAACCCAGTGCTGCAGTCAGAGTCGTTACCCCTGAGCTATTCAGACTAATACAACTGACCCCGAATAGCTCAGTGGTGAAGTCTCTGACTTCAGCACTGGGTTACGCGGGTTTGAATCTCAGAAAGGACATGAGTTCCTTCAACATGGCAGATACGCCTTGCTGACTGGTGAGTCCCAACTAGCACGGAACTTACTTCCAAGGCTTTCTGCCAATTGCCTCCAACCATCTAAAATATCAACAATTCACAGTGCACCGAGATGGCGAGCAACCTAGAATGGTGGCTACATTGCAAACTTGACTGATAGAACTCAGTCTGCTCCAAACGAAAGACTAGACACACCACATTAATTAACTAACCAATGTCAAAAAAAAACTTTATTTGAAGAGTACTCATATTAATAAAAATACGATCATCAATATGAAGAGTATATATAATACACACAGGCAGATTTATAAATTTACCTGTAAAAGCAGCAATTTGAATACCATGATATTTATACGGAACTGAAGGAAATGATTTATTCTCTATGGCATCACGAACAATTTGACGCCAAACACCGCGTAAATGAAAACTACTATCATTACATAATGTTGAATTGACAAACTGCAATCAAAATATGCAATTAGGTTAAATTTTATGCAATAGAAGCAGGAAAATAAATATTATTATATTATTATTATTGTTCCCTTGGGTTCCTAGTGGAACATAGGGCTTCAACTGCACGCCTCCACTTGCTTCTGTCTTCCGCTGTACTCTTCACCTGCAACCATGTTAGTCCGTACTGTTTCAACTCCTCTTCACACGATCTCCTCCATGTCACCCTTGCACCGACGTCCCAATCACCGCTTCCCTTTCGGGTTCCACTCGAGCAATGGCCTGACGCGCGATGTCACCCAACGGCCTCCTCAGCGAGTGTCCAATCCATCTCCACTTTCTCCTGCATATTTGTTGAGCGATTTGTTTTTGTTTTGTTTGTTCCCATAGTTTCTTGTTGGCGATTCTTTCCGGCCATTTGATCTTCAGTATAGAACGAAGACAGCTGTTGATAAAGGTCTGCAACCTGTTGAAAATATTCTTGGTGACCCGCTGGCCAAGTTACTGATCCGTATAGAAGAACTGACTAACTTGACGTTTGTATTGAAAATCCGAATTTTGTTGTTGATGCTGAGTGACGAAGATTTCCAGATTGGTTTTAGGCTGATGAATGTGTTTCTCGCCTTCCCGATTCTCGATTTGACATCCTCGTCGTCCGTTCCTCCTGTAGTTGAGACAATGCTCCCTAGATAAGTGAAAGAAGTAACCTCTTTCAAATCCCTCCCGTTGATGGTGATTGGCGCTGGATGTTGCTGCTGCTGCTGTTGTTGTTGTTGGTTGGTTATTTTCATAACCTCCGTCTTGTCTATGTTCACCTGGAGTCCTGTCTTTACTGCTTCCTCGACCAGTTTGTCGGTTTTCGCTTGTAAGTCTTCGATTTTGTGTGACATCAAACATAGATCATCCGCGAAATCCAGTTCTTCTAGGTTCTTCACGTCGGTCCAGGATATCCCTGTCTTCTCGTTTCCCACTTTAATAAAAATTTTACTTTTTGAATTATTAAAATGTGAAATAAAGGCGAAAAAAGACTTATAAATTTATTTAGTCATTTTTTGAATTCAGTCTATTTACCGGGCGACTGTAAGCCACATCTATTGTGTTAGGCGGGGGGAGGTTGTTGGTGATACTACCCCAGTTGCCCAGACATTGAGGTAGGTGGAGTGGGGCTCATTATAAAATACAGATCTTCTGAAGTACACCACTTTTTTTACACCTGAAATAAGTTTTGTGCAGTTCAGCTTATTCTAGGACAGTTGAATACTTCATATGATCGATTAAACAGTAATCAGTGCTCCAGTTTAATAAACGTTAATCACACATGCATATGAATAGTCTGATCAATATAGTTGAAATGTGATAGTTCATCATTGTAAGATGAACAGAGTACATACACACTCAATTGTGAAACAATAGCATACGAGTACACGTTTCATTTTTGTAGTGTAAAATTGCATGACATAATGATAAATTATCCTGTAAATTTGATTAGTAATAAGTAAGCAAACAAAAAATATATTAGAGGTTAATTTGGTGGATGGTGACTAGCAGTGGAATTCAGGATGCACATTTCGTCCTATTTGGGATTCGAGCATCGGTGGGAACATCATCACTCATTGCGGAATGCAGGCACATCCAGATGACGAGTCCTAAATAGGACGAAATGCACATCTTGGATTCCACTGCTAGTCACCATCCACCAAATTAACCTCTAATTACATGCCCAGATATCGTCGAAGCATCTGCACAAGAAGCCGGCATGTCAACCTGAGACCGAGCACTTTGGTCCAATCAATCGAAGGGAAAATCTAAAATTCAATTAAATGAAAATATATTATTCCATTGTGGATAAACATACTGACCGACAAAAATCGGTGGACATTTCATTAAATTGGACAATCAAGTCCGGAGTCATTAGGCATTTTTTTGTGATGAAAACCACTAGGCTAAAAATCAAATAGCTCCCATTTTCCTACAACTTTTTCTTACTCACAATATACTGTAACTATCACCTTATATGTATGGATGAGTAATTATTCTAACCTCTATGAGATAGCTGCTCAGTGCATGATTATCTCTAATTGTTCACTCTAGCTTGCATCGATCAGTAATAGAAACCACGCTAAAAATAAATCGTTTTTTTTCAACAAATAATCGACTGAACGGACATTTCACAAGTCATTAGAAATTTGGAAATGTTGGTTTGCAGGGATTTTACCGGTTACAGGATTGATCACGAGCTGACATCAGTTGAAGAACACCATTGAAACACCTGGGACCTAGGAGGTCTTAAGCACGAACCCCAGTGGATGCATACTAATGAAGAGTCACAAACCAGGACGAAACAGTTGTTCAGTACTCCTAGGTTTTCCAGTCGTCATCTTCTAACTGATGTCCGCTCTTGATCAATCCTGTAATCATTGGAAAGTCTAACAATAGCAATTTAAATGTGACTTGGTTGAATTAATAGGATTTATAAAGTTTGTTTTTAAGGGGGGGGGGGGGAGGGGGTCATAACAAAAATACTACCCGCCTGTTTAATAGTTCAAAAATATACGGAGTAGGTTTTTTTTACAAATACAAACAAACAAACTAACTAAAGTGTCACAACTACCTCAGTAAGAGAGTAGTAGTACAATTTAAAACTGCAGAATAATAAATGATAATGTAATTAAAGAACACTACACTTAGAGTTGCTGGGCGGAATGCTCTTCTCAAAGATGATGAAATTCTCCCCTTAAGGATATCACAGGTCCAATCACTCTTGAAAACAAGGTTCATATAACTTTTCGTTTCTCCGAACCTTCATTTAGTTGTTATTGTCAATGAATCTTGGTGAGTAACCATTCCTCTCAGGTCTAGTTCTCCTTCTAAAGTTTCAGGACTACAGACATGTCGAATGCGACTGGCAAGGATCCATTAAAGTTGACTATTGATAAATTTCAATTGTATGCAAGATACGTGGAGGATATTTTCATCACTTATGATAACAAATGTGATCCCAATCATTTGTTGAAGGTATTCAACAAATGCCCTCCAGAGATAAAACTCACTCTTGAAATGGAAAACAAATCCAAAAGTATATTTCTTGATATGGAACTAACATAAAGACCCAACGGAACCTTAGGAAGATCCGTCCATAGGAAATTCACATGGAACGGTCAACTGGCAAGTTTAGACAGTTGACTGCCTGTTGAATGAGAATCTCTTACCACTCGCAACCGCTGCAACTGTACTCTTGATGCTCTAGAAGAAGAACTAGACCTAGAAAGAAACTTTCATCCAAAATGGATATCCGCCAAGATTAATAGACAGTGTAATTAGATTGAATAAAGACAGAACAAACATATTTTACAGGATAACACGAGCTCGTTGTATTTCGTCTCTAGTCTATGCTTGTTTCGAAGCGAAATCTGAACTCTACCCCATTCATGCCTAATGATACTATACATAGTCTTTTAACACAGAGTAGTTTGTCTACTTACATCACTTTTGGAATCATGTTGCCTATACTTTCTATCTATAAGTCGAAATCACTGTGCAAAAGCATGTTCAAAAAATTTTGTAACCTACAATTTGATTTTTTTTTAAAGGAGTCTACGACATAAAACAAGCTCGTATTATCCTGCAAATATGCTGACTCTTTCTTGATCCATATGAAATTAGAGTTTTCACTTCTAAAAAAATCAATACTTTCTGTTTATTTTTTGAGGTATTTTTTCTAAAATTTGTTAATATTTTGAGTAAATAAGAGGTAGAAATGATTCGATGTATTATTACTATTGTCACAATTGAGAAACTTGTATGAAGTCAACACCTATGTATTATATCAATAAGTTACATAACTTGATAAACACCACTCAGAGAACATAGACTCTTAGAAATTAAAGTATGAAAAATACTCAAGTGCTGCGAATTGAAAAAAGGCATAGGCCAACAAGGAATACGCTTTTGATAACTTCTTTTCAAAGCTCTGCTGTTAGTATATGATTGTTCTGATCAATATGGTATCTCAAGTTCTAGGCTCAATAATCATGCGTAGACTAAGTGGTGCTCGTAGAGACAAAAACGAGAAAATCACACACCCTTTACACTACGAAGACCGAGTACTGACCATAGCTCCACTCTTCGAAAGATTCTGGAACATACGCATAATTACCGGTGGCGTCCAATAATCGTCATATTTCTTGACCTGAAAGCGGCATTCGACTCCGTCGACCAAGAGGTACTATGGCAGTGTTTGGCTGTGAACGGAATGTCCAGAAATTACATCACACTGATCAAGGAACTCTACTCGAACTCATGCAGCCAGCCAAGTAAGAGCCTACAGAGAGTCGTTGTGTGAAATGATGATAACCAGTGGTGTCCGTCAGACATGCTCACTGTCCCCACTTCTGTTTAATTTCATCATATGTGTACCAATGGACTTAACCCTAACTGACTTCAACGACTCAGAGATTGACTTGTTACCAGGGAATAATCTCGTTCACTTAGAATATGCACATGACATAGTCCTCCTTGCTAGGTGAAGATGCTGACAAATGCAGTCTTCTGAACACCTCGTGATGCAATCTCCTATTGTTTGGCATGTGATTCACTCCCGTCAAATGTAAGATGATGCTACACAACAGACTGGACTACAGCGACTCACTCCTAGCTTAAAGATAGGGAGTGAGGTGGTAGAGCATGTTAAATACCACTTCACTTATTTGGGGAGTTGCATCAGCCAGCCCCAGCGGGTTGATTGCTGACGAAATCTCATCACGGATACAGAAGACTCACTTCCCATTCGTTAACTTGTGCCATCTCTGGCGTAGACGTGATATCCGACTGGTTGTCGACCAAAGGGCGTGTGTACTGCTCAGCAATCTGCTCCGTCTTCCGTTATGGCAGTGAGATGTCCATTGAAAGTGGAATATATGAAAAGACCAGCTGTCTTTGATCGTAGGTGCCTGAGTTCTATCTCTCGTGTAAAATTGTATAATAGGGTGAGCAATACTGAGATCAGGCTCGGACGAGTGCTAGGTAAGGAGGGGAAGTCAATCGACGAGGCTGTGAAGCTACATCGATTGAGAGGGTTAGGATATGTGTTAAGCATTCCTAGCCTAGTTTAGCCTAGCCACTGCTTTCTCGACGGGCGATGTTAGCTGACATAGGATCAGGTTGGAAAAGAGTTGGCTAGTCGTGGTCAAACCAAAATATATCTGCATTAGTCAATGAAATCCGCAACAGTTATTTTAAGCCAGCCACGTAGGGAGGTGGTTGGGGTCCTTGGGATATTAAACACCAAGGCCTGGAAAAAAATTGGTGATATGGCTCAAAATCGTTCTCAATGACTGGTGCAGATGCATTCACTCTTTGTGATTTATCATATTCAGTAAAACTTTTTTGTTCTTCCATAATAGTATTCTTTTTGCCTTACACTTCTTTTTTATTATCTCTCTCTTTTGAATTTCTCTTTACTCTCTTCTCTTGCTTTGTGTGCTACATGGATGGAGAGTGGCAACTCGAACTAGTGCACATCTGTGCAAAGTTCTGTGTTGAAACCAGTCAGTCATATTATTGTTCTAAAGGATCATGGAGATATCCGTAAAGGTCAGTTGTTAATATATATCAGTTGATAACAAAACAAGAGATTACATATGAGGAAAAAGGAACTTAGAAGTTCAATGATAAGCATTTCTGAATGCTATCCGTCACTTCATGTTGTCTTTTTGCGATTACGTAAAACTATTTAGCTACAGCTTGCAACCTGACTGTTTTAGTTTTCCTAGTGTGTAATATCTTTATATGTTTCACATCATTACTAGCTGATATGAATAGCCAACATTTAAATGAATTTTTATGAAATTTTAGAAATTAGTGCAGAAAAAAGATTGAATCAATTAATTTACTCACCAAAGTAGTTTCAAAATCGATTTTATTACGCGTTGTTTGTGCACCTTTAATATTATTAATATTATTACTATTAGTAGTGGTTGTAGTAGTAGTAGTGTTACAGTCAGAATGTTTACTGACGCTTTTACAAGATTCATTCAGTGTATCATTGGTTGATTTTGAACTGGACTCATTGAATATCGATTGATTGATTAACTTTTGTATAGACTGTGCATTGTACAAACAGTCATCAATGTATGTACCACCTGTCAGAATAAAGACAACAACAACAACAATAATAATAAACCTGAAAATTTTCAAGTGTTGGTTTGTAGGGATTTGATTGGTTACAGGATTTCATCATGAGCTCACATCAGTTAGAGAACCATTGGACTTGCCCTATTCAGGTGGATAGTCACCTGGGGTTCTAGTGAGAAGTCGTGACCAGTAGGGTGCAGCAGGTCGGGCATGAGGACAAATACTCGCCAAAGACATAGGCTAGGGGTCGCGCTACGTCGTGAATTGGCAGAAGTTAGAATTCATGGGCTGGCCATTGGATCGGGTCCCAATGGCTTAATGGCATACGAGCTCGCCTTGTAACCAGAAGGTCCGGGGTTCGAATCCCGGTGGGTGCGTACTGGTGAAGAGTCCCAAACTAGGACGAAACAGTTGTCCAGTACTCCCAGGTTTTCCAATGGTTCTCTAACTGATGTCAGCTCATGATGAAATCCTGAAACCTGAAAACGTTTCATATACACAAAAGCATTTCATAAAGGAAAAAGTTTTACTTTTTTTATGAATGAATTTCATAACAATAAAATCTAGCACTAATTTAACATTATCTACAACCTAAAATAATACTGACGATATGACAGTGAATAATACTGAGGCTATTGATGACTGGTTATTATGAAAAATTCCACAGGTGTCAAACTAAAGCGAAGAGGGCAACCTACTGAAATCATCAGCAATATATTCTACATATGGTATCTATGGAGAACACACACACACACGCAACACCACATCATAGAGAAGAGAATACATATGAGAGAAAGTAAATGAATCGTTCTACATAATTCACAGTACCTTAAGAGGGTAATGTAACAGCAGAATTCGGGCACTATGGTGGGATATATATATATATATATACATGTATATATAATCAAGTATTGTTTTGCAGGGATTTGATAGTTACAGGTACGATTACGAGTGGCGTGTCGGTAGTACAGCGGTAGAATGATCGCCAACCACGCAGGTGGTTCAGGGTTCGATCCCCGGCCGACGCACTCCTTTACCTCACTAAACCAGTAATAAGGTTGGGCATGAGGCTAGCAACCCCATCCGGTAAAAATAAAGACATCACTGCTACCGAAACTTCGAGCCTCCAGCTTGAAGCCCTACGTTCCACTGGGGAAGGTAAAGAAATAAAAAAAATCAACGATTACGAGTTGGCAACAGTCAGATAACCATTGTTAAACCTGGGAGTATTAGACCTCTGTTTCATCCTAGTTTGGTACTCCTCATCAGTACGCACCCACCCAGTGGGGTTCGAATTCACAACCTTCCCTTTTTACAAGGCAAGCTCGTAGACCAGTGGTTGAATAGTACGTTTGTAAAGGTTAATAAAGCAGGATTTAATGAATTCATCAAATTTCTGTAGAACTCGTCAGCTGAATACTCTAAATACAGGGATATTTATATATATACTTTTGAAATTACATTGGGAGATATAAGACTGATGAGTAAACAAACTACATTGAAATAGTCATGTAGAAAGACAGGTGTGAATGTTTTCCAGGTCATGTTCATCGAATAGATAAGGGGAGAGGGAGTATGAGAGATCAAAATTAAGATAAAATACATTTGCGCTTCAATTACACATCACTCAGATAAGCAATTAGTCATTAGATTTCTCAAAAACATGTCTTTCATTCTGTTTAAAAATCCCACTCACCAGCCAGATGGCAAAATGAAATGTATGCCAAACGAGCAAGATCACAATCGAATGTTTCCACCATCTCAGTCATAATACAATTTAAACTAGAAGTTTGTGACGAATTTGTATCATTAGAGCTAACTTGATTGACTTTGGTATCAACAATACCATTAGTGGTGGCAGTAGTAGTAGTAGTAGTGTCGTAGCAGTAGAAGTATCCTCCTTGACTTGATAATTATTATCTGTAAATTAAAGAAGAAATTTTCATTGGACAGGTAAATAAATAAATAAATAATGATGCAAATTAATAACTAATCGCGATGAAAATCTTTTTTTGTTGACGGCAACTAGCACTGGAATCAAGGATACGTAATTCGTCCTATTAAGGACTTTTCAACAGGATATGCCTGCATTCCCAGAGAGCGATTGTGTCCCTCCTACTGGAACTTGGACACTGCACCCATCGTTTCAAACAGCAGAGCATTACATAACCTAGGCAACGAGTCCCAAATCGGATGAACTGTGCATCCTAGATTCCACTGTTAGTCTCACAATCAACCAAAATAACTTCACATTAATCCGTAAACATTGTCGAAGCTGACAAGTCGTCAGAGACTGAGCATTCCTGGCGTAGACGTGATATCCGACTATCGACCAAAGGGCGTGTGTACTGCTCAACAGTCCGCTCCGTCCTCCTTTATGACTAGCTGTGAGACCTGGCCATTGAGAGTGGAAGACATGAAAAGATTAGCTGTCTTTGATCATAGGTGTCTGCGTTCTATCTCCCACGTGAAGTGGTATGATAAGGTGAGCAATATTGAGATTAGGCTACGGTCGAGTGCTAGGTAAGGAGGGGAAGTCAATCGACGAGACTGTGAAATTACATCGACTGAGATGGTTAGGACATGTGCTACGTATGCCTAGTCATCGCCTTCCTCGACGGGCAATGTAAGCTGATATAGGGCCAGGCTGGAAAAGAGCTAGCGGCGGTCAAACCAAAACATGGCACCAGTCAATGAAATCTACAAGAGTTAGTCTAAGCCACGTAGGAAGGTGTAGACTACCTGGTTGGGGTCCTCGGGACGGTGAAAACCAACGAAAGCTGCAGACAATTGGTGACATGGCTCAAAATCGTTTTCAATGGCGCAGATGCATCCACTCCTTGTGACTTATGATTTCCAATTGAACTGTTTTGTTCTCCGTTATTACTATTCCTTTGTCTCACACCTCTGTTTACTGTCTATATTATGCATTTCTCCTACTTTCTTCTCTTGCTTTGTGTGCTACATGGAGGGAGTGTGGCGACTTGAACTGCCGCACATATGTGCAAAGTTCTATGTCGAAAACCGACCGACCGATTCCTGTCCGAAATAATCAATCAACGCATAATGCAAATTAGCAGTAAAAATAAATCACGCCAAAATGTTGCCGAGAGATACAATTATATTTTTCGTGGAGAATTCAAATGCTGTTGGTCACTTCAGATAGACGTGTGCGCTGAAGATGTTGTTGTCTAGATGGACAATTGAAGCTTCGAAATTAGACTATTCAACTTTGAGAACACAACAACATCAAAAATAATAATCTGCAACAGGTAATTAATGATTAAACTTGAAATGAAAGCCTGTATCGTGGATAGGATTCGAACCAGTAGCCTATGAATTGTCAGTTTGGAATTCTTTTTGAACTAAGAAAACCCCTGGGTCCGATTCTGGCAGACATTTTTATGGGTAGTCTGGAACAAACAAGGCTGAAATCCGCAAACAGTCAGACCGATTTCTATACCAGGTATGTCGACGACACTTTCGTTATTTGTAATTCTTTCGATGATGCATCTCAAGTACTAAAAGTCTTGAACAGCGCCCATCCTAATATTAAGTTTACAATGGAGCATGAAAAAGAGGAGAAGTTCCATTTTCTTGACCTGGGTATCCAACGAGATATAGACGGCAAAATCATAAGATATATACACAGAAAAGAGACCTGGAGGGCGGTTTATCTTAACTTCAAAAGTTTCTGCCCTATAAGTTACAAAAAAGGATTGGTGAGAACATTATTTGATCGTGTAAGGAAGCTGTGTTCAGAAGAAAAGATTGAGGAAGAGCTATCCATTGTGGAGAAATGCCTACGCGACAATGGTTACCCACAAAAGTTCATTGACAAGTATGGGAGACGTCATGTTGAAAAAGTGAAAATCAGCACAGTAGAGAAAAAGCCTATCTTTCTGCAGCTGGCATTCAAAGGTGATGATACTGCCAGTAGAATAAGATGCAGACTGAACGCTGCCCTGAAAAGAACATATCCAGCCGCCAAGCTTGTATGTGTTTATCAAACAACTAGTTGTTTGAGACAATCAAAAGTGGACAAATACCCACCTGATGTTACCTCCAACTGTGTCTACCAATTTACATGTACGTGCCAAAGCACCTACATCGGAAGAACAGAGAGAAGGGTTATTGTCCGCATTTCTGAACACATACCAAAGAACCTGAGACTGAAAGGTCCACAAGTATTAAACAGTGCAATTGCGCGTCATCTATTAGACACTGGTCATAATGTAGACAACTTGAAGTCATTCAAAATAATCAACAAGCAAAAGAAACCTAACTTGCTACGCTTTGCTGAAGCAATTGCTATCAGACGACTTAAACCAAATCTATGTACTCAGAAAGAGACGGTGGTGAATCTTGCACTGCCTTGGTGAGAAAATATATACAACAGCTTGTTTTTTTTTCCAAGCCTAATTGCCTAATTATTCTATAAATATTTATAAACTGTCAAATATTGATCACAATTCATTTGAATTATTCTATAAATAGTCAGTTGTTTGTAACTAGTTAAATCATTCCGGACTAATGTTACTTTTACTTCCTACCAATTACTCCATGTGATCGTGGAAAATTATGTTCAAATCTTCAATGTAATGTAATTTATATTTTTCATCGTTCAGGTTGTAACCAGTTGAGAAGAATCCTCGAAATAATAAAAGATGAGCTCACATTATCCTGGTACAATAGTTGTTCTTGCTTTGTTCATGTTTCGTTACAATTAGCAGTCATGAAAGATTCAAGTGTGTTGACGTAAAATTTATGTTAAATCAAAAATGTTTAGAAAAATACCGATATGCGATTTGATCTCTAACTACATGAGCTATCATCCAGGCGAACGACTGGTGATACAGAGAAACACAGCCCCCGGCTCTACACTCCCTACGCACTAGTTTTTGCAAAAGAAACACTTACACTTACAGATATACGCAATTTGAGGTACTGACGACTGACACACTGTCGATTCGTTATTCTTTAGAAGAGTAATAAGAAGTTCGTCTAATAACCTCATCAAATATTCGCCACGCACTACACGTATGTTAAATACAGTTACAATTGACTAACTGACTGACCAATCAACACGGAACCTTCTACAGATATACACTAACTCGTTCAACTAAATAACAAGTCCTATTGATATCTATAAGCGTCGGTGGCATAGCGGTTAGGATGCTCGCCGACCATGCACATGGTCCGGGGTTCGATCCCCGACCGGCGCACTCCTTTACCTCGCTAGGCCAGAAATAAAGCTGGTGAAGAGGAAAGGTTGGGCATGAGGCTAGCAACCCCATCCTGTAAAAATAATCACCATTGCTACAGAAACTTCAAGCCACTAGCTTGAAGCCCTGTGTTCCACTGGGGAACGTGAAGGAATAAAAAAATAGATATCTATAAATTTAAAATATCTTGTTCTCTTTGATTTCGTTGTTTACTTCACGAAAAATTGGATTGTCAGATAAAAGTGAATCACAACAAATAAAAAGTAATAAAGAGATAATAGTAATAGTGATTAACAGTAATTAAAAATATCCTACTTGATAAAATATTCTTTGTAACAGTAGTATTGATTACTCGATCAAAAAGTGCAAAAAATACTTGAAATATAGATGTCAGCTGTGTGCGCGCTAATTCGAAACCAACACGTAAACCAATAACAAATACTACATCAATAAATTTGTACAAAACAGCCCGACGTCCAACAACTCCACCGGGAAATGATATATCAAAGCGACCAGATATTCGTACAGCTTTGATAAGAACATCTTGTAGTACAGATTCCTAAATAATATAAAAATGGGACAGAAAATAATAATTTTACAGTATATTAGACTAATTGATTGTCTAATCAATAAAGATGATAACTTGGTGTGTGTTCTATGAGTTGGGTTGAGTTTAATTGTAAAGCTTTTATTGCCCTTCTAGATAATATTGTCAGTGCTAACGTTTTCTTTAAAGAACACACTAACACCAATTTCATCCCACCTTCTGTGCCCTACTTCGCACAATCTTTTTCTATTGTATTAAACAAATAACTTTTAGAAACATTTATTTCCCGGTATTAATTAAAAACAAGCAATAAATGTTTATAAAGCAGGATTTAATGAATTCATCATTGTAACCTGTAATACATTTTCATCCGTCATTTCGCATGATTGATTCACTGTAGTTCATTTATTAATCACATATGTCCATATGTGCTTCTCATAGTATACATAACACTGTACCTAGATTACTCAGTTTACGCCTTCTATCTCCCGTGTGAAGTGGTGTAATAAGGTGAGCAATATTGAGGTTAGACGTCGAGTTCTATGCACTAGCTCCTAGCTTAAAAGATATGAAGTGAAGTGGTAGAGCGTGTTAACAACCTCACTTATTTGGCAAGTTACATCTGCCATAATGAACTGATTGGTGACGAAATCTCATCACGGATACAAAAGGCTCATGTGGTATTTGCCAACTGATGTCATCTCTAACGTAAGCGTGATATCCGGTCATTGGTCGATAGATGTGTATATTGCGCCAAAGTTTGCTTTACTGCTCTCTATGGCTGCGCAACATAGTATTGAAAGTGAAATATATGAAATGACTACCTGTATTTGACCATAGACGTTTGCGTTCTAACTCTCATGTTAAGTAGCACAGTATGGTGAGAAATGTTAAGGTTAGGTACAGATTACTAGGTAAAGAAGGAGAGTCAGTGTTCGGGGTTGTAGAAGTACATCGAGTGGAATGGGTAGGACAGATGGTGCTCATACCGAACCACTGCCTTCCTCGTTGAGCAATGTTAGCTGGCGGTAGCATTAGGTTGGTATCAGTTCATAAAGTCTTTGACTGTTGGCTTGATTCATATAGGGAGAGATGTATGCTACCTTGCTAAAGTCTTCGCCATACCAGAAACCAATGGCTGGAGACTGTTAGTCATATGTCTCAAAGTTGTTCTTAGTGGTGCAAATGCATTCACTCTCTGTGATAACCCAGATCCATTAAAACATGTTGTTTTTTTAGTTACTATTCTTTCTGCCTCATATTTTTTTCTGCTTTGTCCACTTGTGTGTGCTATATGGTTCGTGGTAACTTGAATCGCAAAGTTCAATGTTGAAACTCAGTGAGTAAGTCAGTCAAAGATATACCACTTTCATGTAAGGTTTATTTTCTTTAAGGTTTAAGCATTCTAATTACCTCTTTGATATCAACAATCAGGTAAGGATATATTTTTTTTAAAACACATGTAAAATATTAATTACAGAATATACTTTATCTCACTTGTAATTGTTCAACTAATTCATTATCCGGTAAATACATGATAATTTGATAGAACAACATAAGAGCTGCGATAAGTCTAGCCAAAGTACGATAATTCCATACAACTGATAGTGTAGAAATATTTATTTGATTCAAATTTTCTGTTAAATCAGTAGAACAGTCTGTAGTGCTATTATTACTACTATTATTGTTATTAGTAGTCGTAGTGGTATTGTTGTTGTTGTTGGTTGTGTTTCCACAAGATAGACAAGCAATAATTGAATTGACTGTTTTTACTACAAATGGTAAATAGATATCCAATACAAAAGATACTCCATATATTTGTACAAATTGTTCCAAGCACCTGAGAACACTTGACGCTGCACGATCACCAATTAATGGACGATTATTAATTTGTAATGGAAACATGATATGTTGTTTCTCTGATGAAGGCATACTTGCAATGTTAACAGATAATTGATTTTTACCCTGATATTATATATTAATAAGTGAGAGGAGAAAGAACAAATAGTGAAAATATACTGGGAAGACAATCCTAAGCGGAAATACACTATGCTAGGTATAAATAATGGCTAACTTATCAGGATGTGTGTATACATATATGCTACAAATAAAACAAATTTCTGCTACGTAGGAATAATGAAAACTGACTTCCGTCCCTTTTTTATTATTTGATGAGAACAAATTAATGGTTCAGTATTCATCGTTTGATATTTTTTTTTCTAATTTTAGCAATTCTTTCTAAAAGTGTTGATGTGGTGATATACAGCATAAAATAATAGTATCTTATTTACTAGAGATCAAAGCGCCGAGTTCCTTTGCAGAGTCGTGGTGCTTGAAATTGTATTACAGACAGTTATTGCTTCTATCAAGAGAATTGCTTATTTAGTGCATATGGACTTTTAAATTATTATTCTTGCTAGATGTGAGATCAAATAGTACACTGTACTGTTGTTGTCAATCTATAATGTGTTGTTCAATGGACGTCTTGATTATGTGATTGCTAGGCCCATGTATGCAGTTAACCAATTAATACACAGTACAGTATACTGCTTCAACAATGAACGAATAAGTATAGGTTTACACAGTACTACATTCCCCCAAGTTCTATACTTCTATTACTAAAATAGGTGTTTGTACAATGAAACCTGTTGTTCGGCTCAAGAGGAGTTTCATATGGGCTAAATTTATATTGTCTGATTGTCAGCAACCTCTTTATTCACAACTCTCTCCTTCCATCGCATCAGATAAAACTATTGGTTATCATAAAAGATTATATGCTCATCCAACTAAATACAAAAACTCAACGATACCCTATACTGTACCAAATGCTTAGAATTTCATGCTATATCGTAAGTGCTGTTTTAGAGTAAAGCAAATCATTATTATTATTATCTACATTTCGACATAACTCTACTGATCTTTTGTTGATACTACTCGACAGCAGCCTGGTTGAATCACTGGACTACAATCTCCATTCCAACAGAATGTATAAAATTTTCTCTACTTCCCTTTGTCTTAACTATTGAGTTATGTCCGTGGGTCACCAAATATACTCACGTACATTTTTAATTGACTTTCAGTATTACTGCTGCGCACTTCTTGGCGATGAAAGACAAAAAATACCATAAGAAAATTAGTTTATTCTTCTGATCGAACAGCACTGAGTTAAACAACGTACTTTAGATTGTCATTTTACTTGAAGATCCTGGATGTATAGTATTATTATTATTGTTTCCTTTGATTCCTAGAGGAATATAGGGCTTCAGCCTTGCATCTCCATTGAGTTCGGTTCTCTGCTAGAGTCTTCACCTGGCTCCAAGTCTGTCCACACGTTTTCATCTCCTCTTCACATGACCTCCTCCAAGTCACCCTTGCACTGACGACCAACTCGCCGCTTCCCTTTCGGCCGGGTTCCACTCGAGCAATGGCTTGTCTAGTGATGTCACTTGATGGTTTCCTCAGAGTATAGCCAGCCAATCCATCTCCATTTCTTCCTGCCTATTTGTTTCACAATCGGTTCCTGCTGGGTTGGTTCGCTCCCAGAGATCCCTGTTGCTGATCTTTTCTGACCTTGAGTATTCAGCGAAAACAGCTGCTAATGAAGGTTTGTAGTTTGTTTGAGATGCTCCTTATGACGCGCAGTGCAAGTCTCTGATCCACTGACTGACTTCACATTGGAGTTGAAAATCCGGATCTTATTTTTGATGCTGAGTGCTGTTGACCTCCACACAGACTTGAGAGTAGTGAAAGCTTGTCTTGCTTTTCCGATTCTTGCTTTGATATCCTCGTCAGTTCCGTGTGCCTGTAGTTGAAACGATGCTTCCCAGGTAGGTAAAAGAGGTATTTTCTTTCAGGTTCCTTCCATTTATGCTGATTTTTGTCTGTTGTTGTTGTTCTTGTTCAGGAATCTTCATCACCTCTGTTTTCTCTATGTTCACCTGAAGTTCTATCTTTGATGCTTCTTCTGCCAACTTGTTGCTTTTCTCTTGCATATCTTCCAGTTTGTGGGAAATCAGACATATATCATCGGCGAAGATATATTATGTAATATTATTAATATTATGTAATGAACTAACACGGAAAATTCTGTCTTATGTGCAAAAACTTTTTATGCAGAATAAAGTTGTTAATATTATTTAAAAACATCATAAGACTAAGTGAAATGGCTGAAAAATATTCTCAATATATATTTGACACAATATTTCTGCTGATTCCCATAAAATTTGATAGTTGTTATTACATAGAATTCAAGCCCTGTAGTAGCGCATAATTCCACAGTGGAATTATTTTATTTGATATGAATGCATAGCAACACAATATTATTTATCGAGTGATAATCTTTACAGCAAACTTCATTACTAATATTCAAATTAAGATACTTATATAGCTTTAAGGCTTTGTTGATATAATTAATTTAATTTGGATTGTTGATTGATCGGACCGAAGTGTTCCGCCTCTGTTGACATGTCAGCTGTTAGGAAGAGGCAAAACATGCAATTATCAGGTCATCAGTCAAGTTATTATCGCGTTATTAACAAGTCGTTGACATGCAATTGTTCCTGCTTCTGATTGGACGCTTGTACAATTCAAACTCTCAACCGGATTGGTTGATTTCCAGTCTACCTTATTTTCTGTATAAATACAGTCAATTTTGTCATAATAAATGAACCTGGTTTTACAGTTGATTCTCTTCGTGTTCTGCTTTACCAGTTAAGTGGGCACTAGTCAGTAGTTAAGCAGTGACCGCGTGACAAAGGATCCAGCATCATAACATCAGCTCCATGTACGGATACTTCGACAATGTCTGATAATTTACATTGAGGTGATTTTGGTAGTTGATGACTAGAACGGGAATACAGGACGCGGATTTCGTCCTATTCGGGACTCGTCATCTGAATATGCCTACATTCCCTAGGTACATGCAGATGACGGGTCCTGAATAGGACAAATTGCGCTTCCTGTATTACACTTCTAGTCACCAACTAGCAAAGTTATTTTGTTGATATAGTTCTATTATTTCTTATTCTGTGATTTCATTACTAATAATATTATGCATATTTCCGGTATTGGTATTGCATCGTTTTTATTGCACATGTTTGACGTAGATCCGATGAACAAAGATTCAGTGATCAATCTTTCCAACCACTTAATTATGCTAGCTGTTAGAACTGTAGCCATGTCTTCCCCACTGTATGATTTTGTGCTACTACGTGTATTGTAATAGCTGAGTGTTCTTTTATATTAGTTATAGTTTTATGGTCTATCTGAGCACATCTCAAAATCTTTGCTATTGAAAGGTGCAAGGTTTTCAGTAGTGAAGGATCATAACCACAACACTGATGTTTCGTAATCAATTAAAATAATCAAAGTACAAGTTAGCTTAGGTTTACTGCATAACATTGAAGCGATTAAAACTAAGCTTGTGGATTCAAAGAAGAAGAAGAAGAAGCCGCGGCTATGCTTGCCCCACCATGATAAAAAAAAATCCTAAAGGTGGTGGTATCACAACAACTATGTTGCCATAACCTGAATGAATCCGATCTACTGGACCGAACTGTCACCAGTCATTGAAAAGTATTTTGCAGATGAAGTTATTTTATATCGAATCGAATCAACAGGCTCCTTTAGGCTGCAGAGTTTCCCCCCCCAATGGGTTTCTGAGGTTTCAATGAGACCTTGATGTATTCCTGAGCTATTAAGGAGACTAGGTAGACACATAGTAATGTATGTTTTATGAAATGAAATTACCCTATGTATTCATACTTTAATTAATTTTAATGCATAGCTTGATTTGATAACTTGAAAACAAAACAAATACACACACACACAAACACAAACACTATAACATAATACAACGAAAGTCTTAATGTTTATTCGTGTAAGAGAACGTAAACTTTATGGTAGACAAAGCAGTTCAGTGTGTGTGTGCATGAAACAAGCAACGTGACTGAACTTCATGAAACTGAATCAATTACTACCACCAAGATATATCTGCATAATCAATTGTTAACTAGACATACACAATACAGTCTTACTACAGGATATCTGATATAAAGGTGAATGAAACTGAAGGAATAAGATGAACCATATAGTACTCAACTAGTGAACACATTCATTATACACCAGAGATCAACGGGGAGTACTTTAAAGTAATTAAAGTAAAGCCAATAGTATATAAAGTGCATTTCATCAAATGCAAAAAATACACAAAAAGTGGTAACTGACTCACTTCATAGCATAATGTAAGCGTACCTAACAAATACTTGATAATATATTTATTGGTCATTACAGGACCAATACGTTTTGCAAGCCAATTAAGACTGTCCATAGCAGCAGTGATTGGTGGAATACTACTGATATTGGCACAGTTATTACTACTACTACTACTGTTAGTAGTATTAGTAGTGCAAATAGATGTAACATCCGGTGTTATAACTTTTTTCTGTATGTCGTTGGCATGTTTTTCTTCTGTTGAATTATCCGGTAATACTTGAGATGATGATTTAGATGTTTGTGATGTAGTACTATGCGATAAGCAGACAGACCAAAGAGAAATGAAAACGTTTTAGTCAATAGGAAAAGATTACTGTAAGCGTTAACACCAAAACTCGTGCAAAACAAAGAAAAAAAAACTAAACGTATGAATTTAGTGGTTTATACACAAACAGTTTTGATGATATTAGATGGTTGAGGGTGATCGGCAGGAAACCTTGAATCTAGGTTTCGTGCTGCAGCACTGGGTGATGCCAGATCGAATCTCAGAAGGTACATGAGTTCTTTCAAGGTTGCAGATACACCTTGCTGATGAGTGAGTGCCAGCTAGCACGAAACCTAGGTCCAAGGCTTCCTGTCGATTGCCTCCAACCATCTAATATCATCAAATCAATGTGCACCGTGATGTCGAGCAACCTAGAATGGTGGCCACATTGCAAACCTGACTGACAGAATTCAGTCTGTACCAAACATCAAGGACTAGACACATCACACTAGTTACCAGTGCCCAGTCAAACTCAACAGTTTTCAGTTATTCTGATTTCATTGAAACTGAATGTCTGTTATCATATTCCAAAATCGCTTATAGAGTATAGCAACCAGATACCATAACTTCTGTAGATAAAGATAGCTGATCAAACACAGTTGTTGACCATCTCAACAAGAGTATAGAGAAACAACATGATAAATCTGATCTTTAATATGCCATAACATTGCATAGACGATTGCACGAGAAACAAGAGTTGATTAAAAATAGGTTATGAATTACAAAAATCTTTAACAGGCGATTTCTGATGGCAACCATGCTAAAATGTTTTGCTGGTCGTTTAAACTACTTTTTTGTTCTATAAGGATACCTGACCTTACCTGCATATTTAAGTCTTCAGTTAGCAGAAATCTAATACACCTGGTTCTAATATTCTTATTTCCAGCTATCCCTGAAGCAATTATCAGAAATTAGAAGTTAGTGTACACGTCACTATTGTTTTTCTTGTTGCTTATCTCATTTAGTATTTTGATATCAGTCCACTGGGAAGCTTTGTTACTTAATAGCAGATATACTTTAATGACTATCAACCAATCACATCATATTTCAGTTATCCTATTAAATTAAAATGAAATAATCCATTAAAAACCACAACGGACAAACACAGGAGATATATCCCGACCGACAGCTGCTATCTTGACGTGGTGGTCGGACTTGCATATCGCAATGACCCAACAAGCTACACTGGCTGGAACTATTGTTCCTGCAGGTCCTAACATGCCAGGAAGATTGTTACGATAGAGAGATTTGACTAAAAGCAGTTACCGAAATAGTGTAAGATTTTTTTTTACACGATACTAGGGGTCTATGGGCAAAGTCGTAATGTTGGGGAACAGGGATGTAATAGCAGTAAGGTGTTTCCCTGAGATGACCAGCATGCCAGCTATGTTGTCTCTCCACTCTGGAAAGAGGGGGTTAGAAAAGGTCGACCCCGACTTACCCTACGCTGGTCCGTAACCGGCGGTGAGTTTCATGATACGGAACCAGTCCCAGAAACCAGTTCATACAGGCCGTGTGTGACCAGTCTCAAACAGTTGTCCCCTGGGCTCCGTGGTCACGCAACACTAACCCTCTTTCTGTTTCAGGTATCCAAAGAATCAATCAACCTCCACGGTGTGGGCAGCCGGGAAGTAACAACCGCCCACACACTTCTAAGAGCACACGAAGCCTCCCCGAGCATCATTCTCCTTTATCCATATCATCCCCATCATCTTACTTTCCTACTGGAGTCGGTACTATTCTTCAGGCTAGTGAGTTATTATACTTCACTCTGTGACCACAAACAACAATGAGAGCCATATAAACACCCCTGACAGCCTCTTGAAGCCACGTCCAACAATCGTTATATTTCTTGACCTAAAGGAGGCGTTCAACTCCGTCAACCGAGAGTTACTATGGTGGTGTTTGGCTGTGAACGGAATGTCCAGGAAATACATCACACTGATCAAGGAACTCTACTCGAACTCATGCAGCCAGCAAAGTGAGAGCCTGCAGAGTCGTCCGGTGAAATGATGGTAACCAGTGGTGTCCGTCAGGGATGCCCACTGTCCTCATTTCTGTTTAATTTCATCATAGGTGTACTGATGGACTTAAGCCTAACTGACTCCACCGAATCAGGGACTAAATTGTTACCAGGGAATAATCTTGTTGACTTAGAATATGCAGATGATATACTCCTTCCTCCTAGGTGAAGACACTGGCAAAATGCAGAGTCTTCTGAGCACTTTGAGCAGCAATCTTTGAATGTTTCGCATGTGATTCAGTCCAGTCAAATGTAAAATGATGCTACACGACTGACTGGCGCAGATGCATCCACTCCTTGGGACTTATAATTTCCAATAAAACTATATAAATCTTCGATATTACTATGCTTTTGCCTCATATCTCTATTTACTGTTTCTATTTTGCATTTCTTTTTACTTTCCTCTCTGGCTTTGCATAATGAGTGAAGTATGGCGACTCGAACTGCTGCACACCGGTACAAAGTTCTATGTTGAAACCATACAGACAGAAGATATATAGCCGTGTTACTTGTCTCTTGCTTTGACTATGCACAAATGAATGTTAATGAGAATTTATTGAAGCAGTGTACAGCTACAAACCTAGTCTAGAAGAATAATGGAATAGTATAACTCTGCTCCTAGAATGAGAACACATAAGACACCCGTATGCAGCCATTGTACCGATCACTTCGTAACAACTGGATATTTAAATTTAGCAGATAAACCACACATTTGTAATCAAGCTTCTACGTCTGTTTACTGTTTAACCTACAAGAAGCCACCTGAAAGTGAGAAGTACGAGTAGAGCGCATTCTGTTAGAAGGACTGAAGTTTTGTAGAGTAGAAAATCTACCAAAAAGTCAACATTAAATAACTGAGAAAAGCAGAGTTTTTAACAGTCTCAGACTACTGAGTAGTAAAGAAAAGAAATAGCAAGTATTGCGAAGCAGCATATACACATGTGAAGGGAACTTATGACAACAAGAGTGTACAGGGAGTTAATAGTAATCCTCAGTCATTTTCGTACACTTAGATTCATCCAAGATTGTGTAATCATATTGCACAAATAAGAAAGACCAACTTCAACTGTGCAAAACGATAAGAAGAGGGTAGTAAATTGCTGGGAAGTAAAATTTTGACCAACTATAAACATTAAAGGCATGGTAAAGAAACAATTAATGTTTTCGCTAACCAACGTTCCTCTTCTGTCATTATCAAAAAGGTACCAACTTAAATTCTGTGAGATATTATTATCCCACCATTCGGTTCTGAGTGGAAGAAGGCTGCAGTGGCACAGTACCACTTCCCCCTCTTCTCTGCAGTTCTTTTAAGCTGGTTCCTTAACTGCCCATAAACTCTCATCTCCTCCTCACACAACCTCCTCCATGTCATTCTCATACGCCCAACTAGTCGTTCCCCATTCGAATTCCACTCGAGGACCTGGCACATATGCCACTTAACGATCTAAATCAGTATATCCGACCCATCTCCACTTTCTTTAGCATATTTTTTGGTTAGTAGGTTCTTGGTTGGTTCGTTACCAGGGTTCTTTGTTACTTACCCTCTCTAGTTAGCCATCCAATCTTCAATCTGGAGCCAGCGAAGGCAGATTTTGATAAAAGTCTGCGCCCTGTTCGAAATGCTTCCTGTAACGCGCCAAGTTTTTGACTCATATAGACGATGTGACTTAAAACTGGTGTTAAAAATTCTAATTTCGTTCCTTATGCTGGGTGTAGCAGGTTTCCATACTGATCTTAGACTAATAAAGGTCTGTCTTGCATTTTCAATTCTGTCTCTAACATCCTTATCTGTGCCATTTCTAGTTAAAACTATGCTGCCTGAGTGAATGAAAGAGATGACTACCCTTAAATTTCCCCGTTTAATAATGATATTGTTCACTGGTAAGTCTACAGCATCAATGTAATACTGTTCAATAACTTTTAGTCTTAACAATCCTTTCTTAGTTCCTCGTGCTCACAATAACTGTTCCATAAAGTCAGTATTACTGGTTACAGTTGATGAATATATATTGAAATATTAATTAATATATCATTACTGTTCACTTTGGTTCCACGTGGAACCTAGGGCTTCAACAGCATATCTCCACTTCATTCTATTTCCTGCTATCTTCGGTCAGCTGGCTAGCTAAACGATTACCCATAATCTCTCATCTCCCCGTTGCACGATCTCCTCAATATCACCCTCACACGAACGACCCACTCATCATTTCCCATTCGAGCTGTGGCCTGTATCGTGATGTTATTCGACTGTCTCCTTAACGTATGCGCAGTCCATTTCCATTTTCTCCTACATATTTGTTGAACAATGGGTTCTTGGTTATATTGTTCCCATAGTTGCTTGTTACTAATTCCTTCTGCCTGGCCATTTGATCTTCAATATAGAGCGAAGGCAGCTGTTGATATTTAGATGATATTCATATCAAATAATTATATTGCTCTATTTTTACAAGAGGGAATTAACAACAATAGCTTTGACAAAGCTATTAGCATTAAACAGCGAAACGTCAGTAAAAACAATATCATTTTGTTTTTCATTCATTGGGAAATACTAAAAAAAAAACCTTTATTATAACAATTAATTAAATTTTAAAAAAAAAGGGAGAAAAACAACATTTTTTTTGTTAGAAAGTGATGACAAGCAGATAAATAGTTTTACCTTACCTTGGTGAATATTGACGAGTTACTCCTTCATCATTTGAACCGCTAGTTAATGATTTATGACTTGTAATATCATCACACTCTTCCTCATTAAAGCTTTGACAAGTAA